TTTACTCATCAATGCTTGATGTAATGATTGCTCTTTTTGTCCCCGGCGGCGATATGGTTATTTTTAGCCGCGTATCTGCATTATTCATAAGAGACGTCCGAGCACTCTCCGTGTCCATACATTTTCACGTGAGATTACTTATTCATTAATGGAGACGTCCTGTTCTCGATTGAATGCGTATAATTATTGATGAGAGAGCCAGTTCTATTGTTGGGCTTTCGTGGCATGGCATGAATTGCGTTTAAATTATGCCACATTAAATACAAACACGGCAAAGGAAAGGAAAAGTGCTCACTGGCTCAGGCATAAAAATACTTATTTTATGGGAATAAAAAAGCGATAAAATTGGTATTACATTATTATAAAATTTCTCAGCAAAGAGTATTAATACAAATTAATCAAATTTAAATTTATAATTAATTTTCTTTCAATTCTATCTCTTGCAGAATTTTCATCATCAAAGTAAAAGCATAATTGCATTGGAGAATAGAAATCAATTAAAACGTTTTAAAGGCATTAATTGTCATTCAAGAAGTGCGGTGCTCTTCCAATAAAGCCAGCATCTGCATATTAAATCCCATTTAATTAAAAACAATGGGAAAAGCAGAAATCTCATTGCTCCATCGTCGCAGCTGCAGCATTTAAATCTCAGCGGTCTAGCTCTGCAGCCCAATTAAGGGCAATAAACGCAAACCTCTATACGTCCTAATAAACGTCAAGCAATAGATTAACGCAAGTGACGCGGTGAGCGCGTTTGATTTATTACTATTCTACTCGTTTTTACAAATTCAAAGCTCAACGAACTCAATAGGGATCAAGTGGAAAAAAGACATGAAAAGTGGCGCTGCGCAAGGGTTTGTGGAATAAGTGTTTTTATAATGATAAAAATGTGAAATAATGTAACACACTAACCATTTAAAGTAAAAAAATCAAAATCTTTTATAATAAAAAAAGAGTTCATTAAATGAAATAAAAATATGTATTCTAGAATAAAAGTTTATTAAACTCATAGAATTAAGACATTTTTTATTTTCCTTATGGTTTTTGCGTGTTTTGAATTTTCTCTGTTTTTAGCTGTGTCAATGGAATCTTCTCGCACCTCTCTGTTCTTTTTCTCAATAGTTAAGAAATAATTCAATTCGACGTAAACATGATTTCTCACGTGATGAAAATATTTACAATAGGAATTGACAGATAAGCCTTCTTAATAATGTAAACGGTCACCTGCGCCGAAAATCAGAGTGACACATAAAAATATTGACTTTACATTTCAGAGGATAAACATCCCAGAATATTCTCATGTTCAAAATACTGATAAGGAAGGGAAATAACGCAGAATAGTGCGTTTCACTTAAGTTGTTTTTGTTTTCCACCGCAAATGCAATTTTGCTGGTAAAACTAGCGGAAAAGGTGCTAATGCGTTGAACTTTCCATTTCTCAATATTGGTATTCCTCCTAGCGTTCGTCATGCGGTGCACTTGATATATAACATGCCATTGACGTTTGAGGAAATTCAAGAAAAATAACAAATTTAATCAATTGTGTTTTACAGAAAAAATGCAAGAGTATAAACTGTGTACTTGTAAGGAAAATATTAAAATGAATTATGTAAAAGGTTTTTTTTTTAAATATTTTTAAAGAATTCTTAATTTTATACATCATTTGTAAAATAAAATACATGGACGGTTTTATTTGTAGATTATTAGCACCGCTGAGCATTATTTAAAGTTCTCTTTTTCCTGCGCTTCATACACGGCGCCCTCTATGAGTATTAACGACATACACGCGAATTAATTTTTCATTTTTTTTCTAATAAATCTAAGTCAGACAAAAAAATATATAAATAATTTTTTTTTTACAGATTTCATTATAATTTTTATGCGCTTTCATTTCAATGTGAAATTTCATAGCAATTGGGTATAATAATAATAAATTACTAATATTAAAACAAGGTTTTGAATTTTATTGTTTTCATGCAAGCAATACTATTTTCTGTGATACAAGCATGTGAAATATGAAACAGACTTTTCACGTCAACGAACTCTTGACGCTTCTCTGTGGCAAGAGCGAAAATTTTCGCAGACAGCACTCGTCTTTTTCGCACTTTTCCTCCGTTTTGCCAACTTATGTGTTAAGCATGTGCTTGAAGACACGTAGTCCAGTTTGCGCAGTTTTCCGACGCCAGCGCCTCATCTTGGGCCTCGGAGGACTTTTGTTCCGAGTCAAGCATCGCGCGAATAAAGCACCACCAACCCGCGACTCGTGCAATTTTCCGCCAGCAAAATCGATTCGAATTGTTATGGAGCGCGCGTCTCAGCCTCTTACCATTCATGACATGAAATAAAAGCGCGCAATAGGACAAAAATCGATTGGAAAATTGTTTTTTTTTCAGTCTTTATTAAGTCTAATAGAAAAATATTCAATTTCAATTTCTCCAAAACAAATTAAATAAAACCGATCTGTAAAATTAATTATTTTATATTTTGCCTTAAATTTTTTTTTAATTGTAATTCAACATTCTCTGGATTATTTGGTTAGAATTATTTCACCAAACCATATAATATATTTTATCGCCTGGGGGTATAACCTTTTATGACGCAAAGACCGTGTGCAGCTCCACGTCTCAAATGCATTTTTAGAGTGTTGCAAAATGGCTCTATTTTGTTTGTGACCTCCAAAAGCGTGCTTGTTTTTTCAACTCAAGAACCGGCTTCTGCGTAAACTGCCCATTTGCACTTTTAGCTTGCAGCTCTTTTGCTCCGCGAGGTTTCTCAAAACAAACATTTTAACGTATTCAATGCGTTGTTGGGAGGTGCGTCTGCGTTGAGCCTTGCCCAACCAACTCCAGATATCTGCTTTGTGCGTCAGCATCACAGAGATCAATGCCAAACGATTATTTTTCTCAAAACAAATTCAGATAGTTTCCTGGGCCGCCCAAATCGCATTAAATTTATTGGAAAGAAAGAAAAACAAAATCTGCTTCAGACCGCTTGAATTTACGTAGAAAATAATTATTATTTTGCATCTTTCCGCGACCTCGGAATCTTTTTGACAAATACAAAATTTCTGCTTAGTTTCCATCCGAGTAAACTTAACTCTCTAGTTTGTGTGGTGCGTGGAACTTAATATTTATATGGCTTCACATAATACCGTAAAACTCTTACGTAATTGGAAATGAAGAGGCTTAACTCATTCTTTTGTAATAATCAATATATTCAATTGATTGCGACAATGAAATTACATAGAAGCCAGAAAAATATGTTGTTTTTTTTTACCAATTTTTAATAAATTTTGCTTTTATGTATAACATACGCTGACGGTTTCAACGTGTTGGCAACAGGAAAAATTATAATAAGCCTCCTCACAGTCCCAGTCATAGACTTTCGTCTCCACAGGTCTGACCTCAAAACGTTAATCAGCTTTGAAGTTTTCCTTAACCAACACGCTTGAGGTGTCGAGAGGTTTCATGTTTATCTAGCACTAAAGCAAGGCAACCGTGAGACCGTCAACGGAAAGGGGGAAAAATCACATTTTTACCACAAAATAAATTTTAATGGCTTGTCAATAATATAATTTATCCAGAATTATTACTTCCAGTCAAAAGCGGAATATTACTATATTAATTGAACAAAAAGATTTTAAAGTTTTGCTAGTAGAATAAATTATAAAATTTATACGCACTGAGGCTTTTTTATTTTAATGATGCGATTTTGGTGTGACAACAATAATCTGGGACAGTAAAAGATACACGGGAAGTGAGATTAAAACAAATAATGTAACTGATAAGCCCATTTGCATCAGCTCCAGCAATATTGTGCTCGAATGCTGACGCGGGTTCTGCGGAAAGTTACGTCATAATTTTTGCCGTGTCTCTCTCGCAGTCAAGTTTTGCACTGTCTTTTGTCTTATGAATATTTAAACACTTCAACTACTTGTCTCAAAAGTCAAGTTATTCTGTATGGTGGAGAAACTTGGACCCAAACCACGACGTAGATTTAGGGGGTGGCATTGAACTTTTGTGAGACGTAGTTACATAATTAGTGCACGACTTGCGCTCATTAAAATACCCCCTGGTATGTCTCTGCTCCCTACGTCACCGGCTGGCCACACATCCATACACAGAGACTGTTTAGATCGATCGACGAACCCCTGACCTTTCAAACTCGGCGCCCTCTTATGAGTTCTCACCGACTTACAGTACTGCGCACCAGTCTGAAGCACACACAAGCGTCCTGAATAATGCACAGGCCCCTCTGGTTCTCTTTTTTTTATCAAAGCCAATATACTACGCATCTGATATATTTGGAGTCCTATATCTTTGCATTTGATCAATAAAATGGAGCTGTAAATTTTTCCCGATTTAATCATTACAAGAAAAGTAATCATGTGGTTTTCTTTAAAGAAACATTGCATGACAGCCAAAATTTATGGGGTAAAGGAAGAGGGTTGAAAACAAATCAAAAGAAAATGAAATAATATCTATAAAAAAATTGCATTAATTCATTTCCTTGATATCCTCATTCTTTTGACTATTGTTTTTATTTACAAATTATGAAAATATTTTGATGCTATAGCCACTCATTCATTCAAAATATTTATTTATTAATCTTTAACTATCCTTTAAATTTGATGCAAAATTTCAAAATGAAACAAAATATAAAATCAAATATCAGAGAGAAATATAATAATATCATCATTCAATGTAAAAAAGTGTGCAACGTGCAACATTGTTTAAATGTGACTCAATCGAAAGGCCCCCCTTTGTCGGCCATGTGCACCGTGTGCAGTCAAATTTTATTTTGAGTCGCAATATATGTGAATGCAACGTGCGTCTAGGGGGAAGGGTGATGCACATGCTTTTTTATAGCACGCTGCTCCGTTTCGGCGCGACCTACTTTTCCATTCAGCGCAGCTCGCGATGCAACTGAAGAACGAATCGCCTTGAAAAATTCCATATGGCTTTTTTGCAGCCAGGCACACGAGATGCCAGAGACTCTGACAATGAAAGAACAAGAAATATATTAGTCACCTCAATTTAATGAAGACTAAGCAATCTTATATTCAATCCAGGTGCTTATTTTTATTATTATAAATGTAATTTTGCATTAATTATTCTTTGTTATAAAAATTAAATCCTATATTTAATTTAAAAATTAGTCTTTAAAATAACGTAATAACTCTTTGTCAGAAAGTTTTGTCTTGATTTGAAATTTTTTTGCATACACATTCATAATCAGTTAAATAATATATTATTTGATACAATTCCATAAAACCTCCTTTGGCTTATTTTTATCATAGTTCCGTTTCATTTCAAAATATTTTTAGTTGCACATTACTGTGAAACGAAGAGAATCACAGTTGAAATAGAAATTGATAACGACTCATTTGAGAGCAATATGTCAGTAGACTATCTTTTCCGTCACATAGTTCATAAAGTGCGATAAAATTTTTAATTCCTGTTTGAGAATAATTTTTCAAGATAATAGAAATTAACAGTTAATCTTACAAATCTCTTCTCGTCATTGTGCGAAAAATAATTTAGTTTTTATCTCCTTCTTAGCCACGTGATATATGTATGAGGAATTGAGGATTTAAAATTTGTACTTCAAAATTGCTTTGAAGAGTTGAAAAAAAATCACATTTTATATCATGTACACGCACCTTTAGCGTGAATGATAAACAAGGCAGAGAGATAAGTGACATCCATAATGTCGCACCCGCGATAACAATTTCCATTCTTATCTTATCTGGAAGGGTATTTGACGTGGTCACGGTATTTCAGCCAATATCAAAATTATATAATATATCATATTACAAAGTTAACCGAAACTTTATGAGATTTTGCTCCAGCATGCGATAATCCACCATAATTATATTAATAACTTATTATGCAAATTTTATAATAGGTTCTCAACTTATTTCAAAAGAAATAAAAAAGTCAAAGAAATTTATTCAAGATAACATAATATTATTAATAATAATAATAATAAATAGATTAGAAAATTTTAACAGGAGAAGAAATACATTTTATACAATACAGTATATTACTTTTCTATCTTTATAATTAATGTATAATTATTAATTTCTATACATTCATTAAACAATTTAATGAATAGTCAAGTTTGAAGAAACTTAAGGAGTTTCTTCTCTTGTCTTATTTATAGGATTATCTCCTAGTAAATAACTCCGAATGGGAGTTCTCAAGTGATAGTTCTGGCAAAGCTTATGCAACTGTCTAGTCCTGCATGTGACGCTGGTTGTATAAGCGACGTAAATAGCTTAACAGTCCAAGCGTAAACACACAATAAACACGCGTCGCTATGGCTGTGCTGCGGACAGTAAATTTAATTTACTATAAAAACAAAATAATTACAAAAGTGATCTATCTCATAATCCAGGAGAAAATATTAGTGGAGCGATTGCTCTAAATAGCTTTATAAAAAAATATACTTTTCCAAACCACTTCACAAATTCTATACGAGTCGGAGATTTGCAATTTTTTGTATATGCATGCTATCTATTCTCTTTGGAGTAATTTAAGCAATTAAATAAATTAGCGGTTTTTCACGATTGATTGAAATTAATTTGAACTTCTTTTTTTTAAATAAATCCTATAGCACCGTTCAATTATGATATTTTTTTAATTAATATAAAACCATTAAATGAATAATCATCATTTAGTGTGATTTTATTTTAAAATCCCACGACCTGGAAAAGTCACCCATCAAACTTGTAGGGGAGCGTCTATAATACAAAAGGCAGCTTTCTCAGGAGCATAATTGTTTGCGTTATTTATGATAAGGAGCATAATACATCACAGGTAAAAATGGTAATTGGCCGCGCGCGTTCTGTTCCCTCTCCACCCATGCAGTTCCTGTGTGTCACCGCGCCCTGCCATTATATCTGCGTTCTCCGTTTTTACCTGTGGTGCTTGCATGCGAATGGAAATCCAGTTCAGAGCGCGGTCCCTCGATCGCCCGCTGCATCCGCCCGTCCGCCGCCACTATTTGGATACATCATCATACATGTCGCGGTCGCGGATCACACAACACACAACTTTAGTGCGTAGCATCCACAAACTGCACTCTTTTCACATGAGGACTGATGCGAAAACTGTGCGATTTTCGCCACTTCTGTCGGCAACACTGCAGCTGTGAATTTTTCCTCTTGTAGAAGGAGAGGGGTAGTGCGCGAAAGATGGCCTGGCATAATTTTTTAGTGTTCCTATTTTTCTGCTCTTCGTTTGTGATCGATTCATTTGGGCAGGAGCCTGTTGTGATGCTCAAGCAAGGAGCTGTCAAAGGGGTAATGAGAACATTAATGCCAAATATCTACTGGCCGTTTAGATCGTTTACAATATTTTTCATACTAAAGAAGATCGCAAGACAAAAAATTATCTGCAAATCATTATATTATTTGTAATGCACCCATATTAATGTCTATTTTAATTATGGAAATGGTTTGCTTCAAATTAAAAAATAGCAGTTCATCATTTCAGAGAGAAATAAATATTGGTGGAGATTCAATAGACTTAAAACTCTCCCGGGATAAAAGATATCCCGTGATATAAGGGATAAAATTTAGACCACTGTCACCGGTTAAATATTTTTTGTCCCGCCTTCAATTTTTTCTCCCCAAGTCATTGGGGGATATCTTTTCTTGGCCCCCTCTACGGGATAAATATTTAACCCGCGCTAAAATAAATCAGCTGGTAAATAAAAGATCGTCAACATGCTCGAAAACTTATTACATTTTGGCCAATTGCAAATTAAGCAATTTGAGGTGCTCATATGTAGGTGCTCATATGTGCACCTGGTATGAGGTGCTCATTTTAGGTGCTCATATGTTCACCTGGTATGAGGTGCTCATTTTAGGTGCTCATATGTTCACCCCTGATATTAGGTGCTCATTTTAGGTGCTCATATGTGCACCTGATATGAGGTGCTCATTTTAGGTGCCCATATGTTCACCTGATATGAGGTGCTCATTTTAGGTGCTCATATGTTCACCTGATATGAGGTGCTCATTTTAGGTGCTCATATGTGCACCTGATATGAGGTGCTCATTTTAGGTGCCCATTATATGTTCACCTGATATGAGGTGCTCATTTTAGGTGCTCATATGTTCACGTGATATGAGGTGCTCATTTTAGATGCTCATATGTTCACCTGATATGAGGTGCTCATTTTAGGTGCTCATATGTTCACCTGATATGAGGTGCTCATTTTAGGTGCTCATATGTTCACCTGATATGAGGTGCTCATTTTAGGTGCTCATATGTTCACCTGATATGAGGTGCTCATTTTAGGTGCTCATATGTTCACCTGATATGAGGTGCTCATTTTAGGTACTCATATGTGCACCTGATATGAGGTGCTCATTTTAGGTGCTCATATGTTCACCTGATATGAGGTGCTCATTATAGGTGCACATATGTGCACCTGATATGAGGTGCTCATTTTAGGTGCTCATATGTGCACCTGTTATGAGGTGCTCATTTTAGGTGCTCATATGTGCACCTGATATGAGGTGCTCATTTTAGGTGCTCATATGTTCACCTGATATGAGGTGCTCATTTTAGGTGCTCATATGTTCACCTGATATGAGGTGCTCATTTTAGGTACTCATATGTGCACCTGATATGAGGTGCTCATTTTAGGTGCTCATATGTTCACCTGATATGAGGTGCTCATTATAGGTGCACATATGTGCACCTGATATGAGGTGCTCATTTTAGGTGCTCATATGTGCACCTGTTATGAGGTGCTCATTTTAGGTGCTCATATGTGCACCTGATATGTGGTGCTAATTTTAGGTGCTCATATGTGCACCTGATTTGAGGTGCTCATTTTAGGTGCTCAAATGTTCACCTGATATGAGGTGCTCATTTTAGGTGCTCATATGTGCACCTGATATGAGGTGCTCATTTTAGGTGCTCATATGTTCACCTGATGTGAGGTGCTCATTTTAGGTGCTCATATGTGCACCTGTTATGAGGTGCTCATTTTAGGTGCTCATATGTGCACCTGATATGAGGTGCTAATTTTAGGTGCTCATATGTGCACCTGATTTGAGGTGCTCATTTTAGGTGCTCAAATGTTCACCTGATATGAGGTGCTCATTTTAGGTGCTCATATGTGCACCTGATTTGAGGTGCTCATTTTAGGTGCTCATATGTTCACCTGATATGAGGTGCTCATTTTAGGTGCTCATATGTGCACCTGATATGAGGTGCTCATATGTGCACCTGATATGAGGTGCTAATTTTAGGTGCTCATATGTGCACCTGATTTGAGGTGCTCATTTTAGGTGCTCAAATGTTCACCTGATATGAGGTGCTCATTTTAGGTGCTCATATGTTCACGTGATATGAGGTGCTCATTTTAGATGCTCATATGTTCACCTGATATGAGGTGCTCATTTTAGGTGCTCATATGTTCACCTGATATGAGGTGCTCATTTTAGGTGCTCATATGTGCACCTGATGTGAGGTGCTCATTTTAGGTGCTCATATGTGCACCTGTTATGAGGTGCTCATTTTAGGTGCTCATATGTGCACCTGATATGAGGTGCTCATTTTAGGTGCGCATATGTTCACCTGATATGAGGTGCTCATTTTAGGTGCTCATATGTTCACCTGATATGAGGTGCTCATTTTAGGTGCTCATATGTTCACCTGATATGAGGTGCTCATTTTAGGTGCTCATATGTTCACCTGATATGAGGTGCCTCATTTTAGGTGCTCATATGTGCACCTGATATGAGGTGCTCATTTGAGGTGCTCATATGTTCACCTGATATGAGGTGCTCATTTTAGGTGCTCATATGTTCACCTGATATGAGGTGCTCATTTTAGGTGCTCATATGTTCACCTGATATGAGGTGCTCATATGTAGGTGCTCATATGTGCACCTGATATGAGGTGCTCATTTTAGGTGCTCATATGAGCACCTCAAATGAGTCGTTTTGTAGTGAATTTGTAGTCATCTTGGAGTAGTTTGTAGTCTATTTGTAGTGAATTTGTAGTCAACTTGGAGTCGTTAATAGTCGTTTTGTAGTGAATTTTTAGTCAACTTGGAGTCGTTTGTAGTCGTTTTGTAGTGAATTTGTAGTCAACTTGGAGTCGTTTTGTAGTCAACTTGGAGTCGTTTTCGACTCTCATACGACTCCCAAAATGCGCTAAAACACGCAAAGCTCGTTCTCCCTTCATATTTATATACCACCTTGCTTAAACATCCCAACAATTTTACCATCAATAAGCCGTCAACTATTTCAACTGTTGAACCACCTGACCTTGCTATCAATTTTGAAACAAAAAGGTCAGCCGCTAGTAATAAAAAATTAAATACAGTCAAAAATTTTCTTGACATTGGCTGAGCTGAGTGTTCATTGCAGATGCACTTTTGACAGCCGGCAGCCGTAGCCAGCCACTGGTTCCTGGTTCAATACTTGATTTGATAGCAATAAGAAAAAGATTTATTTGCCCAAATTAACTTTGACGAAAAGGTATTTAAATATTTGGGAAACACTTAAGATGAAAGAAAAGCAAATTCTTTTTTCTTCTACTTTTTCACGTTCACTAATTTTTTTCCTTTTTATTTGTTAAGTGTAATTAAAAAAAATTGGCGAATTTAATTTATCTACAAATAAAAAAATAAGCTTGAGAATTTTAATTTTTAAGCGTTGAGAAATTTGAAATTTTATGTGCACAAAATTTGAAAAGAAAAAAATCCTTGCATAATTTCGCTTTGATGAAGAGTTCTTTAGAAATTTCTGAGCAAAATAAATAAGCAATTTTAAATTAAGTTCGATACAGAATTTTGTGTTACCTTTGGATTTCAATTTTGCCCTCATTTCCATGATCCTCACAAAATTTTGATTTGAAAAAGTTTTTTATTCATTGCAATTGGCCAAAATCTAAAAAGTTTGCGAGCATGTTGACGACCTTTTATTTACCAGCTCATTTGATTTTAGCGCGGGTTAAATATTTATCCCGTAGAGGGGGCCAAGAAAAGATATCCCCCAATGACTTGGGGAGAAAAAATTGAAGGAGGGACAAAAAATATTTAACCTGGGACAGTGGTCTAAATTTTATCCCTTTGGATATATCCCGGGAGAGCTAAGTCTATTGAATCTCCCCCATTAGCTTTATAAATTTTTTACTTATTTTGATTTTGCTTTATGTAATAACATTTCATGTTAAAATATTATATTATTTTATAATTTTTAATAGTATCCATTATATTTGTTTGGTTTAGTTTTTTTTGTCAATTTTAACCGTCAAAATAATTCACATAAATGTTTTATATCAGCGATTTAATTCGTCTTGACGTATGCATATGTAAAAAAATTATATTTATGCAATTTGCGGATTTTTAATATCATCAATTGGTAACCTAACCTGACTTCACCAGAAAGCTTAGAGTGGAATCTTAAAGTATTATAGTTTATTCTATACAAGGATTTGAAAATACCAACAAAGATTAAAACATCAACTACAATTATTGCTTTTGCATTTTAGTTAGATTGTAACTTTGTAATGATTATTGAATTACTTTCATCAGTTAAGGACATACACTGAAACAAGAATTGCAATCAACTCTTTCCTTGGTATACCTTATGTTGAGCCTCCCTTGGGCCGTCTTCGGTTTTCAGTAAGTTTACACACTTAAATATTAGTTTACAATGCATTTAATTTGCGAGAAAAAAATCATGAAAAAAAAATCATGTTCTTACTTCCACCCATGTTTAATTGAGAAAAATTCATTTACACATAGCTTGACACATCATTTATTTACTTCATGTTGTAAAAGTCTCCCATTTCTTTTAAAAATCTCTCCCTTTAATAACTTAATTTGCTAAATGTATGAAGCTGTAATTGAAAGTGATGTACGCATGTTTTACATATTATAATATTTAAAGAGCCCTGAACGCCACAAGGGATGGAACTCCACGTTAGAAGCGTACGACTTTAAACCGGCGTGCCCTCAAATTCTTCCACCGGTGAGCGACGCCCCGAGTCTTGCATTTCCACCCAACACCAGTGAAGACTGCCTCTTCATAAACGTGTGGGCCCCAGATGCGCAAAACAGTGGCCTCCGCAACTACCCTGTGGTGGTTTTATTTGAAGGCGATGAATTCGTCAGCGGCTGGCCGGGAAGGTTTCCGGGACTTGACCTGGCCGCTGAAGGACTGGTCGTTGTTTCCGCCAGCTACAGACTCAACGTTTTTGGTGCGGAAAAATATAAATTAAAGAAGCTATGGAGATTATATATTAATTTTATACTTTTTAAGGATTCTTTTATCTGGGCATCAAAGAAGCACGCGGGAATTACGGCCTGCTAGACCAGTATCTGGCTCTTTTATGGGTGCGAGAAAACGTGGCTGCGTTCGGTGGCGACCCGAGCTCAGTGACCCTTTTGGGTCACGGAGCAGGGGCAGCAAGCGCTTTAATGCACGCCACCTCTCCCAGAACAACTGGCAAGTTTTTCTTTTGTTAATTATACTTTGTTTTATTTACATGGAATTTTTTATTTAAAGGTCTTTTCCATCGGATCATTGCGATGTCTGGCACTCCTCTAGCGTCGTGGGCAGGTGGACAAAAAGGCGCTGCGTCGGCAATGGCAGCGTCTCGCGAAATAGCAAAATCTTTGGGTTGTTTGCGACAAAATGCGTTAAGCGCCATGAATTGCCTCAGGAAGTTGCCTGCTGATGATCTTCTTCAGGCATTCAAAAAACTGTACAATGTGAGTAGATTTTTCTTCGTGATATGCATGAATTTTTTTATAATTTATACCATTTTTTTTTCATTAATATTTCAAAATCAGTGATTAATGCTATATTTTAAAATACCATGCAAGTAAAATAAAAAAAACTTGGAATAAAAATAAAAAGCATACATATTATTACATTAATTATCTATTATAATATTTCCGAAAAAATGGGATTATTTAAGTTCAAAACCTTACAGTTATCAGTCATTGTTGTCATTAACATGAATTAATTTTTTTTTTTAAATTTCATTAGAAATATTTATTATTTCACCACGAAAAGATAAAATACATTGGACCAATTGAATAATTCTTTAATGGAGAGTTTTTTTTTTGGCTAACCGCTGATTATATGCTTACGGTGTTCATTTAGGGTGGCAACTGGTCCGAAATTCCGCTGCCCGTGAGCGACTCTTTCCTGCCGGAGAACGATCGGTACCTGCCAGATGATGCCAGGAAAGCGCTTACCAAAGTGACCGTTCCCGTCCTGCTCGGTGTCACGTCTAGTGACGGCATAGCTGCCCTTGGTGCGACTTCATTTTTTTTTCAACCATAAATTAATTGCCAGAATTTATTAATTAAATATTTTCAGCTTCCATAAATAATCTACCTCAACGGGGCTACCAAGAGTTGTTGCAATTTGCCGAGCAAGTCACCATTCCTGGGTTAATTTCACAGATGGCACTTGAAAAAAAGCAGATTCTGGTGAAAGAAATTGTGCGGCATCATTATTTATCACGCGCTAGAGATGGTGATGCTGAGGCGCTTCTGTCTCAAATCATTAAGGTGTGTATAGATTTTACTTTTCTCTCTAATGAGAATTGAAAATTGCAAACATTTATTTGGGAAAATTAATTATTATTCCAGCTCTATTCTGATGCAATGTACCACGCTCCCGTTCACGAAACAGCAAATATTTTGGCTCAGAATATCAACTCCCCTCCTGTTTATGTGTATCACCTAGAAAACCTTTACTCTATACCTGGCTCGGATTTTTTTCACCAAACAGGAATCAACTCATCAGGTAAAAACTATATAATAAATTTGATGAATTTAATATTATTATTTTATTGCAGGCGCTTCCTATGGAACGGACCTGATAATTTTTATGGGCCAAAGTATCCTGGCTAAAGTGTTGGGGCGCCGATGGACAGTGGCAGAGGAGCGACTGTTAATTGCAATCAGAAGATTTTGGCTGAACTTTGTGCGACAAGGGTACTACTGAATTAATTTGAATTGAAGAATTTGATATGAATTTATCAACTCAATTAAAAGCAATCCAACTCCAAGCGTTTATGGGTACAACAGTGTCACATGGCGCCCCTATTCGCCAGCCGAGGGAAATTTCTTCAACCTGGAGAATCAACAAATGAGGGTTGAACCACTGCCTCGAGAGGGTATTTCACTGTGGAACAATCTGCTCCCGAAAATAGATTCGCTACAACTGGAGACGTCCACTGAAAAACAAGGAGTCCCAATTATGCAAGGTATAAATGCAAGGGAATTTTCCCACAGTAAAAAATTTAAAAACTCTGTACTTGGCAGGAAACAGTATGAGTTACACGAGCACAACGCTTGTCTTGGGTGTGCTAAGTTTAGTGCTGGGAGTGCTTCTTGTCACCAGCCTATTGGTGATGAAGAGGCGCTACGGCCGCTACCAGGACAATGCCGAGGATGCTTTCTGACATGAGGACCGGGGCGAGGGAGCTCCTGAACGGCCCCCACCCCCGGTGGACTCTTCGTGGCGGTACAACCTGACCACATACAGGTTTTAGACCTTTGAACTTGAAATTAAAGACAAAATTGCAAATTATAGAGGAATTTTCCACAGCGCTGCTTGAATAGCTTGAGACTAACAGTTAATGCAAAAATTAAGTAAGTGCGACTAGTAGCTGATTAGAAATAAGTACAATATATGTAAAATTCTTCAAGCACATTGTAAATAATTCTTAATTTTTATATATATTTTTAACATCTCAACAAAAATAAGTTTACACAAAATTATGCTTAGCAATAATATATTAAACATAGGGTGGGGTGTGACTAAGAAGTAGCTTTTGAAATAAAACAGACTGCAGATATATTTTCGAGTACATGGTTAATCGTTTTATTTTTGCCTAGAAGGGTTCCCAATAAAATTTCACAAGCAATTTTATATAATCTATCACAGTCTTTCTCATTAAAGAAGTCCTTGTTTCCAGTACGGTGTTGAAAATGTGTATGTGTGTCTTTGTCTTGCAGTATCCCTTCTGGCATCGCGTCTTTTTTTCACACCGTAACAAATTTTTATTATGAGAGTTAGCTACGAGATTCTTAATTTATGAGCTTTCAAACTATCTTAAAGAAAAGATCTTTATTAAAGTACGAATATCAACACTTCCCAACAAGTGTCCCTTAAAAGAGCTGACATGCATTTTATCGTAATACTAATATTTCACACAATTATCATATAGGATGGGATGTAGACAATTCATTTGAACAACTCATGCCAACAGATGAGATCTCTTTGAATCAAAAATGTACTTTTAGTCTTTTAAAACAAAATTGAAGCGATGTATAATAGCTAAAACTCTATTCAATGATGCTGGTTGAGTTACAAATTCGGACGAATTATATATATGGAAGGAAAATATACAAAATACTAGTTACGTTTTTCTTTGACTAATTGAGCATCTTTTCAATCAAATATGAAACAACAAATTGATGCACTAATGATAATAAACTCAACAGGTAGGAAAAGCCAAGAATGAAAGAAAATGCAATTGGCCAAGTTATCGATCTCAAGAAAATTTCAAGAAGCTTCACAAGTGAAAAGGAAATTTGAAATAATTCCAATGCCTTAGGTTAAAAAGCATTGCTTTCCAGAGACAAACCAAAAAAGTCGTAATTAAGATCGCACAAACACAAGAGGGCAGGCGTGGAGCTCTTGCATGTCATATTTTTTTTGACAATTTAGTTCTAAAATCTGGTTTAAGCGCCTAACGCAGATCCAATTGTAAACCATAAAATGTATCAACGTCTAACAGCAATGTACATAAAAATTCGAGGCTAGCACCAAAATGGTCTAGCCTTTGATTGAAGTGGCCTCGATTGGCTGGTATCACAATGTAGGTACAAAAAGATTTTATACAACGTGACTTTAGGCCCCACCATTTTTGCCTCAGTAATTCGATTTTTAAATTTGAATTCAGAACCCTTTATTTAATAATTTAACGATTTTGCATAAAATTGCAGTTTTTTTTTCGGAAATGGTGAGGTTCTGAAAAAAGCTTTCCCGATTAACAATTTGACCTTTTTACGCTAGCATTGTTTTGCACATTGAGTAGATATATGTGTCAGTTTAAAGACCCACTTGCAGATCACCAAACAACATATTATTCCATTTTGTCTACGAGTGAGCAACAACAAAATTTTTTTAATACACGCCGCAAGGACGTGCTCGTTCGTGTAAAGCAGAGTTGTAAAAGAAGTTTAGGAAACATGAATATTCCTTTACAAACTAACATTACATGTACGATGTCAAAGTTAAAGAGCAATCTTTTTATTCTACAGTTAAAAGGAGATTATTGTATGTCTTGGAAAATCTGGTACATCACAAAAGTCTACTTTTACACACCTTTTACAGAGAGTTAATGAAAATGGTACTTTCATATAATATTGATCTACCACACTGTGCTTCTGTGCGTGTACTGCTCGGTTCTTCTGAAAATTTCATCGATCGGGAAGTTGTAGTGGGTTTTTATTTTGCTAATTTATTACTTTGTTTGCCTGAGACTTCATCTCAATTACATACTTGTATTAATATTATTCATTGTCTGCTCTTCGGGCAGTTTGAGTGAGCCTAAATACACTCTGCTTGTGAGAACAACTGCCATCTCAAATGTAATTGAGCAGGAGGACTATCTGTTATTAAAAACCCAAATCATTTTGGAATGACCAATTTGTCATTCAAGCGCAAACTAATTTAGTTCATTAATGAGTAAAATGGACTTGGTATTTGGATGAATCCAATTCGTCTGATATGTGCTCAAAGCAAAACAAAATTGTAGGAGGTTTACTCATATTTTTTCACTACTTTCCCACCGGGCAGACCGCTCAGTGATACGACTTTCTGGAGAGAGCAGAATGACTTAATTAATTGATGGTGGTTTTGATTCGATTCAAGTGAGCATGATGCTTTGCTCAAAGAATGGGTGGCAAAAAGGTGCCTGAATCGTTAAGGGAACTCTTCTCGGGCAAAGAACTTTCTCTCTGCATACCACTGCCAACCCTGGCTGACCCCCTTCGTCGCTCGGAGGCTGCGTCGGCAGACGAGAGACGTTCCTTGGACGAATTGGGAGCCTTTCGAGTGCCCCTGTACACTCGGTACAGGGAATAGGCCTCTCCGACAGGCGGAGGCGCTGGAGGCAGGGTGCTGCCAGGAAGGTCGGACTCGGAACGCGTCGAAGACAAACTGTTGGCGGCGGCCGAGCTTTTGTGGGTCGGTGTGGCCGCGTCTTGTGATGAGCACCGCTGGAACTCGAATGGCGCGCTGCCACTTTGGTTCAACCAGGGGTGCTTGGCAGCTTCGTCCGGAGTCAAACGTTTGCTTGGGTCCCAGCTGAAATTGATTTAAATTTAGAATTTTAGTCAAGATTATTATTTTTTTTTCTCACTCTAAACATTGACTAATGAAGTCAAGGAAGAGCCTATCGCTGCATCGAATGGCAGAGCTCAAGTCCTTTGACGATGGCTTCCTCTTGCGCCCTTTGCTGTTTGTGATACATCTAGGTGCACCTTTGGAGTCTAAAATTTAAATGAATATTTGACTCTTGCTGGTTTAAAAAATTTAATTATGGTTTTACCAAAAAAGAGCCTCTTCCTGGTGGCAGCAGCCAAAACAGACTTTGGTGGCAAACCCAAGACCTCCATTACACAAGCCAATTGCTCCATTTCATTTTCACCAGGGAACAGGGGATAGCCTGTGTATAGCTCTGCAAGTATGCAACCTGGAAAATAATTATTCAGTCAATTAATTAATCTGGAAATTTTAATTTGGACTATTCAAACTTCTAATAAAGAGTCATATATGTAATGGTGAATGATAGGTTTATATGTATTTTTAACTTGGCCTTTTACCACTAGTTATACGTATTTATTTATATCATTATTTTTTTTATATTTCATTTAAACAACCCATTATACCAATACTTCATTGTAAAAAGTGGACAAAGACTTTCAGATTATGCAGTGCAGACTATTGCGTAATTGGATGGTAATAAGGGTATGCTAAAATTTGATCGCCGGCACACAAGTAAATTAGCTTGCTGTGCGGTGCATTTATTTGGCTTTGGGGGCGCGAGAAGGGAGGCCATAAAAATGGGAACAGATGTCTCACCAAGACTCCACATATCGATCGGCGTGCCGTAAGGAAGGCCCAAGATCACCTCTGGAGAGCGGTAAAAGCGCGACTGGATGTAGGTGAAGATCCGGTGGTTAGTGTAACACGAGCTGCCGAAATCAATCACTTTGATGCCTGTGCTGCCCCTCTGCTTCAGCAACACGTTCTCCTATTTTGACAAAAGTAAATAAATGGGGAAAATGTGAAGGTTTGAATAGAAAAATAGCATGCAAGGTCAGCCGCAAAGGAAGCCACAAGTCAAACACAGCGACGTGTGTTTTACTTGAAATAATCCAATATTGTGAATATTGTTTACTTCCGTCTGCCTCACATGTCAGTGCAAATAAACACAAATCTTTCAGCGAGTGTTTTGAACACCAGCAAGCAAGATGTAAATTTTGTATGTTACTCACCGGTTTCAGATCACAGTGTATGATATTCTCTCGATACAAAAGTCGGAGACATTGAACTAGAGATTTGGTGAACCTCTGGATCAAGTTAAGGCTAAAACCCTGGTAGTTGTTTTTCTTGATCAACTCGTACAAGTTTAAACTGCATTGAAAAAAAAGAGTTAAAAATTATTCAATCAAGAGTAATTTGTGTTAAGCAATCACCTCATGAGCTCAAAAGTGATGCACAAGTGGTTTCTGAAGTAGAAGTACTCAAGCATGTGAATGATGTTGTTGGTACTCTCTCTGTCCCTCTTGCGAAGATGGTCTAGGATTTTTACTTCAACCAGAGCTTGGTGGTGGAATCGTTTCTTATTCCTATGGAAATTCCTCCAATTAGCCCAATTGAATAACTTTTACACAGAAAATCAAAACAAGACAGGGATAAAAAATTTAAAAAAAAGCGTGACATACACAGACACAAAGGCAAAATGATAAAAATATTCTCATTACTTTTCTTCACATTCATTTCTGGAAATTTGTCCAATTTTGCAAACAAAATATAATAAAAGAGAAATTTAAAATGTTTAAAAATAAAAATAAAATAAATGAATTGCGCCCTCACCGAATGATCTTGATGGCAACGTAGGTGTTGGTCTTGTGGTCCAGCGCCTTGATGACCTGTCCAAAACTGCCCCTGCCGATGACCTCAAGGATCTCGTACCTGTAGGCGATTTGGTCATGCAGAACTTTGTGGTAGCTGCCGTTCTCATCGTCATAACCGCCATTCTGCGCGCCGTTTTCCTCAGGGTGCACCTTGCATGCGTCCAGGCCAAGGTACCACACCTGCGGGTACTCGTTGATTTCGTTACGCTCGTGTTGTGTCAATCGGGAACCATACAACTTCAGGGCCTCTGCAATGCGATTAAATATTTTGCATAAATCTGTCATAATTCAAACAATATTCAGAAGTACTTAATTTTTGCATTTAAAAAATGTGAATTTATGAAGTTTACATTCTTAATTAATCTTTAATAAGTATAACTTATTTTTAATTAATTTAGAATTACATGATTTTAAAAATTTATTTAAGTTTTTTCGCACCTGCAGATGAAATTGGATAGGTAATTCCATCCTTGCTCCCTGCAGAACTTGAGCGACCGCTGTCGGAACTCTTTCGAGGCGACGACTCGAGTGAGGGCGATGTGGAGGTGCTCTTGTTGCTGCAGTGACTCGAATTGTTGTTGGGTGATAGTTGCTGGTGGTTGTCCAGCTTTTGATTGTTGTTGTTTCCACCCATTTTGCAGGCTGTCTGCTTCAGGGTGGAAGAGGCCGGTTGTCCGTGAATTTCGTGAGATTTCTTTTTAAGTGGAAAAAAAACGAGAACAGGTTTTAATATCCAACATCCAACCAAAACTCGCGTGAGAAAAGTGACTACGATTGTCGACAAAAATTTTTCGCCAGAGCAAAAAGAAAAAAAAAATGAAAGCACAAAAATCGATTTAATTACACAAAACTAACCTGGTCACCACTGACACAAAGGGTTGCCGTGCCTAGACTTTTAGAGCTGGCGTGTGAAAGTCTGGAAGCGGTGGACGAGTGGTTTACTTTGGTGCCCTGGGAGCGCCCGACAGTTGCATACTCGATGATTTCTTTGTGCTGCTGCCCACTGTGACCGTTCTGGAATCAAAAACGTTTTGCATTTTAATGTGCCCTGAATCGTGCAAAAACTAAAAAATATTTACATGATTTTTAAAAGATTTTATAAGCAATTATTCTTAATAACAAATTAATTTAATATCTTTATTTGACCTTTTCCACGAGTTCATATATTGACAAAAAAATAATAATAAGCTGCATAGTTGCGCTAAAAGATAACAAAAAAATAACTTGCGACTACATGCGACGGCATGCGGGAGTAAAAGGTATGCAGCCTGCAAGACACGCATGTCACGCGGGTTTGAAAGAAATAAAAAAACAAAGGGGATGAAGTAATGTGAAATGTGAGCCGCCGTCTTGCAATAAAATCGATAAAGAAATTCTCAAAATCAGAGCTCTTGTTTAGAGTTGAGCAAACAACAAACAGAGCTCCTGAAATGAAAAAATTTGCGCCCGAATTGACGTGGAAATTATTGAGTGCGCGCGCAGCTTTGAATATAATTATTCTGATATGCGAGTGCCGCTGTGGTGAAATATTGATGTAAGAAAAATATATGCGTCAAACAAAATTTATTGGCTGAAAGGGCTCGGTACTGCAGCGCGAGGCGAAATATCAAAATCATCAACCCTATCCGCCCCTTGTTAGTCAACCCTTTCGACCGACACACACACACATGCAGCAATATTTTAATTAATTAAGCAACCGAGATTTCGCATGCGACATGCAATAAAATTACTCTCTGGAATTAACGAGTACGCGCGTCTAGCTCGGCAAAAGGCACCCCTTTCCGTTTTGCCTTTTGCCGCGGCTGCTGATGTTATGGGGTGCGGAGTTTACAAATCCGTAATATACTTACCTGTCCGGCATATTAAAAAGCACCTCTTCACTCCTATTTGAACTTTTGCATATTTTGTGCATGGGCCTGAGAGCTTACTTAGTCAGTACTAAGCAACGTTACTTTATTTTTAAGGCTACAGTTTTAAATAAATTTTACGGTTAAAAATGTGATACGTCAAAAAGCATGTTGAAGTAACAACAGTCGAGTGAAGTAAAATGGTTATCCATGTTTCACTCTTGGAAAGATTCCAAATATAAAAAATTTCTCATAAAATAGAAGATTATTAAAAAGATGCATTCTTTTATTTATTTTCAAATAAATTTTGTATTCCGCTTGCTGAAAAAGCGGGGCTCGTCCTCAGTGGCAAAAACGGGTGTTTTTATTATATATTATGAAAGCAAACGACCCGTTTTAATCAATAACTGTGGCAAAATTTAAAACTTTGTATACTGTAAAAAGCATAACATTAATAAATAAAATTGAAGCATTTAAAAAACCGAATCGTTAAGGCAAGATTTTTACAAGCATTAAGTACTGACCTTCTTCTTCCCCTTCTTCCCCCTTTTCCCCATTGAGAAAACGTGCAGCACCCTAACTAATACGAAATTGAGTGAGCTGTATGCAAGTGTGATCTTTACTGCGTCTTCTGGGCAATTAGCCCAAATACCAATTAGGATCACCCTCTCCTCTTTTCTCCCCCCTTTAGATCAATCACACAATTTTAGCTACCTAACATTTGCTTACATTTTTAATTGACTGGGAGCTATGCATTTGCCCATAAAACAGCAACAGTACAGTAATTTTATTTTTTTTTTTTGTATCAATTCTTTAGCATGTTTTTTTTTATGCAAAATGAAGCCATCAAAATTTTTTCAATAATTAAATTTAATAATGTGCATTGTTTTTTTTAAAGAATATGAAAAGGCATGAAAAGGTTAATTTAATTTTAATAAGCTAACGCTAAAAAAATAAGTTGCAAGGCTAAGTGAATTTTTAATATGATTTTCTATTCGAACACGCTTTCTTTTATACACCTCTTCTGATAAAATCTGCTCATTTTTACATAAGCGCCTTGGACGATTAAAACAGAGAAACCAAGCGAATTTTTAATCTTCACAATAAATTAACACAAATCGTAGAGACATTTTGCACAAGAAAAGCAAGGATAGATAATTTGATCAAAAATTTTACCAAATTGCTCGACCCTCGCCGAGTAGCCTTTATAAAAAGAGCTCCAAATTGAATCTAACTCGATTGGCATACGTGTTGATTACGTTTTCAGGAAGCCCTTTGTTAGCAAAAGCAAATCGACATCGGAGTTTGTTTGTTTGACCGTCAGCGCAGGAAAAAGCTTGGAGCGGTGGTGCAAGTGCAATGGCGCAAAGTTATGCGCCAAGTGCACTGTGCACGGACAGCTCGATAAATTCACTTTCGTCTGAGCGCCCTTCCTTCCATGCAGCTGATGCTCCAGATTTTCCTTTCCACCCTGCGCTGCATCTCTGGCTGCCACGCTTATCGCAGAACGCGTCCCATTTTCCTTCGCGGATATAATCAATGCGAGCGTCCTGCTTCGCCATAATTGAGTTCAATGTTGTGTTCAAATATAGAGAAAGACGAGATTACCCGCCTTGCTTTTTATCAGGGACAAACTATATTCGCAATTACATAATGGAATATAAAACGCTTCTATTGTTACGTATTTTTTGCCAAGGGAAAAAGATTTCCGCGGAATTTCATTCAAAAGCCTGCAGATTTGCGTGCTTGGTTTTTTTCCTATGATTGCGAATAGATAGAGAAAAATTCGAATGGATTTCTGTGAACTTCGACACGATCAGGTTGCACGAAAGAAAAGAATGAATGAACGCGCGTGAGCCGATTGATTCAAACGCTGCTTTGTAGGAAATAAAAGATTAGCAACACATGCTGCTTTTTCCGAGCAGCGCACGTCCTCTTCGAGTGTCACTAGACACGACGAGCTTGACAATGAGCAGTTTAAAGAGGGTCGTACACCATAGTGATGCATGTGTTTTGAGCGACGTGCTTAATATTTAATATCATCTCTCGCGGGACCGGCATGAATAAATAAGACATCAGGAGTCAGCTATTTAAAGCCTCGTCTATCCATTATTTTTGCATGGTTGAAATCCAGCATCCCCTTTCTCAGCGCTGCTGACGTCTTTCTTCTCGGAAACGAGATTACTGAAACATTTACGCGGAATTTTCCCAACCGTTGCGAAATCGTAGAAGGGTGGAAAGATGTGGAGCGCTTTTGTTCCGCGAAAAATCGAAAAGTCTGGGAGGGAATTAGCGTTTGTTGAGAGCTCAAAGGGCGACTGCATTCAAAGCTTGTTGACAGGCCATTTCCAAAGTAATGAGATATTGTGCACACAGAGGCGCCAGTAAATGGGTCGCCGCGCTCCACGCGCACCCCTGAGTCGCGCGCGTTTTTCCATCTAGGCCACCAGCACAGATGCATCCCGGGAAAGTGCACCAGCATTGACCTGAAAACACGGCTCGCGCATTCCACTTTTGCTTGCTGCGATTCCAATTATTTATGTATAAAGTTTTCGCTCAATGCAACGGGCGGTAATTAAAGAATACTTTTTGCCAGATCGGAGTGCTGCAATTTTTTGCTCATTTTTTTCACCGGCCTACGAAGATTTCATCGACGCGAATTACAAAACGTCAGCGGAAAATTTTCCCCTTCAAGACACACGCACAGCCACCAAGTCGAAAGTATGGAGCGTTAATAAGTGGATTAAAATGTTCGCAATCCGACGGAGTACCTCTTTAGCTATAATCCAGCCATGCACGAGCAGAGTTTCAAATTTGCAACCAGGCTTACACTCTGACACGAATAAAATATATTGCATAAAAGACTCACACATATTTGGAATGATTTTGTACAAGTTATATTTAAATAAAATTTTCAAGTAATTCAAAGATTAATTCAATCAAATTATAACCAAAAAAATATTGAGAAATGTAATTAATTTAAAAGAATTGAAATAAAAGTGGAAAATTTCAATGTTCTTAACAAAATAAATATTATTATTATACAATGCGAGATGCGAGGTTTATAATTTGTGATAATTTATTTTATCCAAGTCAATATTATTAATTAATTAACCTACCCACCACCTAGCGTAAATTAACCTTTCAAAATTCTCGCCTCTACTTCCTCAATATACATATTCCAATCTTAATTTTACTTATTCATTCCTCTCATATAATAAGTAGATTGGGACGTTCCGCAGGCTAGTTACTTGACGGAAATAAAACCACAAACGCTATACCAATTAATCCCAATTAAGAAGGAAGCGCGTCTGGCAAACAACCTAATTAATTGACGCGCGATCGACTTGAAATCGGACACGTGAGAGAACAAGCGGCGAGCAAAAGATATATGCGGAACGTGACCGCACGTCTATAACATTTTATTTACTTTTCTTCTTGAGGGACTTCCCTCGGCAAGGGTGGTGCGTGCAGGTGACCCTGAAAGGTTCGGAGGCTCACCTTGGCGTGGTGGTGTTTCGAACACTGCTTTTCGGTGCAGCACGTTTGCTGTTTCTTGTTGTTCTGCTGCTTGTTCCAAGGGTAGGTGTTGTTGTAGAGGGTGGTCGAGGCCGCTGAGTCGTCCATGCTGGTCTGTTCGGTGCGCTACTGGCCCAGATCGCGCCTCGGCATTCCTCACTCGACTACTGACTGCCAGTGGACACCGAGGGCGCTCCAACCCGACGTCACCCCTCCGCCGATCGATGCCCCAACGTCACCACTTTCACCCGCACCTACCCCTCCCCCTCCATCCCGAGTCGGGTTCTCTCGGTTGCGATTTCGGGCCGGACCTGCTTAATTATTTTGATGCGACGCTGCGCCGCCGCCGCCGAATCGCAATTTGGCCCTGTAATGCGTTGATGAAGTGGCGATTCAATTATGGCTTTCGGAAATTGCTTGTTGCTTCCGAATTAATTGCTCTTGATCTGATTAAATTATAATTTTCCTAGTGCCGACTTTCTTTGGTGATTAATTCAAAATTAACAAGCGTTAGATGCAAAGAAAAAGATAAACCTCAGAACTTTCATAAGTAAATAATTTAAAAGTTTCTCTCGCAACGTCGTGCTCCCTATTATTCCGATGGCTCCAAAAATTCTTTTATATGCCTTGTCTCCGTGAGTTTTGGGGGATAATAAGTTTCCTCCGGTCTCTCTCCTGCCAAGACTCGTTTTCCAGTTATTTCTTTTCGAAAAGTTTGTATTTTCTCTGTCTCCAATATAAAAGTCATGCTCGCGCTCGGGATGTCATTCTTCTTCTTGCATGCGAGCGCTTTTGACGTTTTCCGCTGCCTCAAATTTGTAATAAACTATTTTATGGCATAGTAGAAACTGCACCAAAGCGCCCCGAGGGATTGCGGTCCCCAGAAAAATGACAATCAGGAATGTTTAATTCGTGAATTTTTTTTATATTTTTCGGTGTTTATCAACAAAACACGACAAGATGGAGTAAAATAAAAATTTTATAGAAAATTTCTTTCGTTCCTTAATTTATTTCAACAACTGAAATTTATAAAATGGATCTATTTGCACCTGCCTTTTCACAAAAAAGAAAAAAACTCTCGTGCGCTAGTACTTTTATTCAGATTTTCTCTCGTGGCAGTTTTTTACAATATTACTTTTGCAGCATAATATGACTTTGCGTCGAGATATGAAATTTGTTTGCACACGCACACGCCGTGGCCACAGCAGGGATTCGCCCTCAACATCGATTAAATAGCTCTCCTTATCAAGATTTCAGGATTTCAGATTAAATTATTTTGATATGTATAAAAAACACGCAACATTCAAAATAAAAAATAAAAAAATCTGCGCCAAATATTCTGCTGCCAATAAACTCACACTTTGATTCTAATCATATAAAAAAACATCCCTTATTCCCTGCCAAGAAGTGAAAACAGATATGCAAACAATAAAACGTCAGATCTTCCGAGTTCAATCTCAGGCCATCGGTGCAGCGACTCGGCACGTGCACTTGGCACGTGTTTGTAACATTTCTAGGTGGTTGGGGTGCGGAAGAAAGCAGGATGAGTGCCAGAATGCGAGATGTGGAGCAACCCAGATGCAGTTGCCCCATCCACCCGCATATTGGGTCAATACACGCCCATTACTCTCGCTGTGCACACAACTCGCACTTTGTCACAGGTCGCAGCCTGACCCGATTAATTCATTCAGCCCGGCGTCTGGCTGCCGAAGAAGGGGTGCTTTCATTTCGCAACCCACTAAAGATGAGCCTAATTGCGTCTGCTGCCTCTTCCGCTGACGACTGAGAGGCATGAATGGAATTAAATTCGGCAGAAAAAACTATCCAAACCTACGCGACATGCGGGAAACGCTGAATGAAATGCCAAAAGTTGATCCCACGCTAGTTTGCATGAAAAGCGTTTGACCTTTCCGTGTTTGCGCTCTCTGAAATGAATTTTCTCACTAGGAGAGCAACCCGGAACGCAGGGGCGCCAAAAATTAATTCCGAACAAACGCAGTTGCTATGCAAAGCGGATTTGGCTGCAAAATTCGATAATGGGGTGGCAGAATGGATTTCCGCGTAGAGCGAGCTTAACCAGCATTGTGGGGCAATGAACGTCCTTGGTATATTTTCCACTTTCTTGTAGGGATAGATTTTGCATCACCTAACAATGCTATGTGGGAGAAACAAATTGAAATTGAATAGCTTTCTTCTTCCATACGTCGAACATTGCAAAATAAAATATCTCAAAATAGCAGAAAATTTTATTGATATTTAGTAAAATAATCTTTTTCTCGAGGTCTCGGCTAAGAGATGGATTGTTTGTTCACTTTAAATCTTACAATAGATCAAATTGATTTTTACAGTTCTTGACAGAATACAATATAAAACTGTTTTACGATTTAATGAGAGCTCTTGATTAAATAATCTGATTTATTTTAATTTTTGATTTCAATATTTTCTTCAGCTTCAACTAACAATAAAGAGAAAATATTGGGAAAAATAACCACGTTAGAGTTTGCTTTATTATGCATCCCGTGTAAAAAACAAATGAAACTAATTTGGTTGTAATTTATTATTGATAATTTTTTAATACTTAATTTTCCTTTAATTCCTGCCAGAGGGTAAGATTTGTAATATTTTTTGCAGTTTGCTCAGCAGTGAAATATTAATAATTTCACATCAATAAATCCTAACTTTAAGTCAAACTTTGATTTCTACTGTAAATTTGGAAGGTAAGTTGACCTGACTTCAACATAGTCATGTTTGTGTATAAGACCATTAAAATATAACATAAAAATATACGTAGAATAATATAAGAATAGATTTTAAATAATATATAAATGAATATGAATACTAATTTTTTTGTCCAAGAAAAAATGCATTCTGTGTTTAGAGCTGAGCAGGGAGCAAGTTATAATGAACTGATTGTGAGGCGATAGACAAACTAATCAGAAATTCAAAATTAGTGACTGCCTTCTGCACAGAAATAAATTTAAAAATTAAAGTATATTATTATGAATTAATTTTAATTATATTAATAATTTTATTTCATTGCACCTGGTCTCTTTTCTTGTGATTCTTTAATGAAACTTTCATATTAAAATTTTAATAAAGCAATTCGTAAAAAGTCTATTTGACTGCACCCTGAAATATTATGCAGGCAAATTGTGGTAAATATTCACGTTTATAAAAAAGCAACATTTGTACCATATAATATTGAGCCACAACCAAAATAAATTGAGATGCAAAGAAGCAAAAAGCGTTACACTCACCAGTCGTTGACGGTGTTGGTGCAGCAAGGACGCATAGCTCTCATGGATCATGCGGACGTCGCACGAGTGGCAGAGACAAGAGCGGTCGCCAATTGAGCGTCTGTAAAAGTCGGACAGCAAGTCCGAGGGTGGCGGGGGCGGCACCGGAGGCGGCTCTGGCGATTCAACGGGCACCGGTTTGGAGCGGAGGTGAGTCCTCCAGTTTGACCTGCGTTGCGTCAGGTCGGCGTGCGAACGGTGCAGAGGTCGCGCGTAGTGCGGCTGCATGGCGGCGGCGCGCGAATTCTGCACCACCTTCGCGTAGTCCGACGGTGGGGGTTGGAAGTAGGTGGTGGGGGGCGTGAGGAAGTCGTCCAGCAGGTAGAACTCCTTGGGCGGGCGACGCTCGCCGCAATGTTGCGTCAGCGTGTTGGCGCGCGGTCGACGCTGACCTTGTTGTTGCTGTTGTTGCTTCAAAAGGGTCCCCACACTTCGCCAGCGACGCGTCATCGCCGGCGGCACCGACTCGGGCGGCGCCGGCTTCTCCGGTTTGTTCAGAAGGCGACTTGCCCACCAGTTGGCGCTCAGCAGGGACGCGCTTTTCTTCAGGGCGTTGCGGATCGGACTGGTGCTGGAGGTGGCCTGTGGCCGCCTGTACTCCATGGTGGCCGATTTTTGCTGGTGATGGTGACTGATGAAGCCGTAGTCCGTTGACTCGTTGGAGCCGCCGCGGGGCGCCGACGAACATGACAGCGAGGACAACGAGGACGACGACGAAGAGCCCCCCACAGGGGCAGGGTATACGAAGGCGCTGCTCGGCATTGCGACGGCAAAGCCTAACGCTCTAGCATTCTACTGGGACACACAACTCTGCAAGCAGAACACAAAACACAAATATTACACACTGGCAAGCTAGCGGCTACAAAATTTCAAATAAATTACAGCAAAAAAAAAAACATACATTATATAAAATAAATATATGTTGGGGACATAAAATATTCAGGCAGAGGGATGAAATTTGTTGAGGTAAAGGTCAAAGGTAAATCATATATGATAATGTCTAATGATAATTTAAGAAATTGACAAATAAAATTAAAACATAACATATTTTTGTGTCATTCATTTGTTATAAAACTGAATATATATTTTTTTTTTTTTTTTTTTTTCAAATATTATCTACTAAATTTTTTTATTTGAAACTCATTCATTCCGCAAAGATTTGTATTCTCTGCTAGTTTGAAATGGCAGAAAAATCTTTTTATCCTAAGGCAAAAACATAATTAAGAGTGATACGACTCATTAAGAAATTGCCAAGGTTCAATTCAATAATAAAAGTTCCAATAATTCAAAATTTAAAAAAAAATTATAATTTTAAATTATGTATATATTCAAAAAATGTTATTCCTTTATTATTGTCTTCATTTATTAAAAATTTAGACGATAAATCAAAATTTTAGAACCAATATTCCCACGAGGATAAATAATAATCCTTTCGATTATAGTTTGACGCAGGTTAAGCGGGAGTTTCCCTGGTTAATTTTAACCGCATACATACATAAAATCTGAATAATTGGAAACATCCGCCGATCCACCGCGTGTGATTGTGAAAATGGAAATAAAAAGCTGAACGACTGTAAAAAATTAGGTTTGAATCCTGTCTCTGCGCACCTCGTCACCGGTGCTGTTGACGAAACAACAATAAAAATATGAACTCTCCGGAGGCGTTAAAGGCCTCTCGAGAACAAAAGTAAATTGGCGGAGAGCATGGCATCTGCTCAAGTTTTTCTGTCTTTAATTGCGGAAACGACGTAAAAAGTGTTCTCACTTAGGAGAATTGAAGGCATCACGCAAGCCAAAAGCGGTGAAATAATGCTTTGCCTTTTATTTTAATAAAGGAACAAGAGTCTTGCCTGTGTGGCTGAAATAATTGTGCGCGCGTGATTATAGAGAAGAACGACGCGGCACTCATTTTGGGCACAACGGATAATGGGAAGAGACTTATCGTTTCCTTGCGAACTTCACAAATCACGAACTCTGATTGACAAAAAGTGAAATTGAAACGTTTCCTGAAAGGTTAAATCTCATTTTTACCATTATTTGAAAGAGTAATTACAATTTTTTTATTATACTTTTCTTCTCTTCCTGGATCTCCATATAAAAACCGTAGAGCGCGCTCTGATTATATTAAAAATCGAATCAGCCCAACTCGTCTGCCTACCCGCGAGAATCGCAAAAAGGCTTATTATTGTTAGCAAGGCGTGTCGAATGGGTTCGAAATAAAATGTGTATAAGCTGAAAAGTGACAAAGCAAGTCGACTGCTGGCTTTTGTATGCCAGCGACGAGAGAGTTAGTTAACTGACTGAAGGTTTTTGAAAGCCGAGTCTGTGCCCAAGCTGCAGCAACTGGTCCAACTAACAAACGACTCAACTCGTGCTGGGCAAGAGAAATAATACCCGCAACCAACATAATGGTGTTACGTAGTGAATTTCTTGCCCTGACTCACTCACTCAACTAACTCCTCGGCGCACGGTGTAGGAGGCAATGCCTTCTGCGGACATGGGTCTGCCTCGACCTGGCCAGGTCTCTCGCTCCCAGCCACATGTTGCCACCTTGAATCTTTTCTGCAGCATCTTTCAGCTCCACCGCCCTGGCCGTAAAAAACTTTCTTTGCCGGCCAAGTCGTGATCGCGTTTAAAAATGAAAAAAAAACTTTAAATCGCCTTGAAATCGAAGCCGAGGGAAAATTAACGCCTGGAGATAATTGTCCTTTATGATGAGAGATGATGCCCACGCAATCTTATACAACTAATTTTGTTCCCACGATTGGCTTTTGAATATATTTGAATGGAAATTAAAAATAAACTAGTTATCTGAATTTAGGGAGTTTAAAATGATAATTAAAAATAATGCAAATACCCACAGGCATTTAGAGAATTGAAAAATTTACATTACGCAACAAGTGGCCAGTATATGAAGATTTTAATCGAAGGCTTATTCGCCAGCAAATGCAAAGCTATATAAAATTACAGAAACTCTGCACCGGGAGAGAATTCTGCCTTGTGTATACAGTAAGATTCTCGCAAATCTTTCATTATTTTGTATTTTTTTTTTTTTTACTGTCACGTCAGAAGTGCATTATAAATCACGTGCAATTTTTTTTTAAGGAGTGAAATTGCAGATTTTTTTATCTACGAATGCTCCGTTAATTTGTATGGAAGCAAGCAGCGAAACACAGCATGCAGAGTGGCGAGTTGGTTGTTGTGCGCGGTGTCTCAGCTGGAAACATAATACGAAAAAGGTGGCACGCGCTTTTGGGCCAAGCTGTACGGCAGGAACTACAGCTCATGATCTCCCCATGTGATGTTCATGGATGTGTTTTATTTTTTTATACTCTTTAATTGTCGGTCCGACTGACTGCATTTGATGATTGATAAATAAAAAATGCGTCGGGCCGGGCGCCTCTATCTTCCGTAATCAGCATCAAAATGGCCATTAGCCCCTTCAAACTGAATCATCTCTGCGTCATTATAGAACCGCACTAATTAAAATTGCTCATTTTATGTAATTTTTATCAGAAATAATGATGTATCGCTGCTCGCTTTTACAACGTCCGTGTTGTGAATTGAGATTAGATTTCCGCTCCTTTTGTTAAAATTTGTAGCAACAATTTTTCTATTAAAATTAAAAATAATAAGTATTGGGTTTACTTCAAATTTACATTGGTAGTTTTAAGTAAATATGAAAGTTTCAATCATTAAAAAAATTATTTAGTACTATTTATTATGTTATTTATAGCGCGCCACGGCAGGATACATAAAAAATGGAAATCTCAGCAATGCTCGGCGTCCAATTGGTTTTGGTGAATTGGTCGCTGAGATTTGATCACCTTGTGAATCGATATCGAGGAGTAGCTAAGTCGGGGCAGAAGTTGATTTCGCGCTGAAAACCGATTGTGAACTCTCTGCGCGCCGTTTTGCGCGGCTTGGGAACAATAGAGATACGAGTCCAGGTTGAATGACTTTACCTAGCCAATGTATAATGACCTCGCCGCTTTTTTGAGAAGACTTTGCTTTCAGACTTGACTTTTCCCATGCGTTCTGCTCCCCTTCTTGAAGAGCCGCACCGAATACAATTAAACTTTTCCGCGGGTTCACACACAAAGTATAAATAATAAATGATGAACACGTGTTTTTCTGCATGACATCCGAAAATTTAACCATCTTTGAATTTCCCTCTGTTGTTCGGTAAGCAGAGAAATTACCGACGTGATTGAAGATATAAAGTGATTTTTATAAGGTTATGGGTTTAAGATCACTGACTTTTATAAACTTAGTTTTAATTAATCTAAATCAATTATCATCCAAATCAAGAAACACGCAGCAATACTGTACTGATAATATAAGTTAACTATAGGCTTTGATGAACTAAATGATATTGTTTTCTTTTTAATTCTTCACAAGCTTGACAAAAATTAATGAAGGAATTGCATTATTTAATTTTATTATTAAAAACAAAATATTATAATTTAAAATACTAAAATATTATTTAAATTGGAATGAAAAGAAAATATTTAAAATACGTACAAGATGGCAAAACAATTAATTAAAACATTTTAAGATTGCTTTTACAGTCTTTGGTTTATTTTGGTAATATTATTTTTTTTAATAGCTGTAAAGCATTAAAAAGGGGAAAGGTGAAGAAAAATAGTTTTGTGGGTAACTAAAGTATGACAGGGTTGCTTTTCATGGCCAGAGACGGCACACTTGTGGCAAATAGCAAAAAGTGGCAAAGTGTGCGTGCGTGAAACCCTATGCAAATCAGTGCAGCGGCGGCTGAAAGGCGAGCTCCGTGCGAGGATGCTCGGTGCTTTTTTTTTGCAATTGATGCTGCAGCGGCACGGTATAATATCATAGCTAGATAATGCAGCAGCTTTTTTTCCGCAGCCGAGTGAGAAAGGGTTAAACCCAATCCACTCTCAGATGAGCGAACCAGAGCGCCGGTAACGCACTCGCTGGCGCGGTTTTGGTTTCACCCGTGACCTTCTTCAAACTTCAAGACGCCTTCAGTTAGAAAGAAAACAACACTCTTTGCCTCTAATTTTCTAAAGGGCCATCGCACAACGAGGGTGCCGAGAGTAAGTATGCAGAGAGAGACAAAGGATTTGAGATAAAGCAAAAATCATAGAGCTGCGAGTTGCATAAATGAGAGTCACGGGAGTCGCCCTCACCATCAATGAGACACACAAGAGGGACTATCTGGGCCCATTTCATAGTTTTCTATGACGTCTGTACATCGTATTGTATGTTATGAAAATTAAAATTTCAAATATTAGTCTACAAAAATAAAATTGAAATTTGGTTAAAAAATTTATAAAAATTATTATATATTGATAAACAACAATAATTTTGAAGGAAATAAATCACAGACCGTTAATGACAATTGAATAAAGCTATTAGGGTTAAGCATGTTCAAAAATTTTATTATTATATTTTATCAACTTCAAGGTAAATTTTTAGGCTTAAGTTCTTGTTTCATTATCTTATCACCACTACATAGCTCTATATCAAATTTAATTTAAAAATTATTTCTAAGATTTTTTTAATTTTTATTAAATGGGTAATGGGTGACACAATAATTTGATATAATTCACAATCAGATTAAAAATTACTTTTTTACTGTATTAAATTGCTTTTAATTACTCCTGGACCTCATATAAATCCACATTGGAGAGCCTGTTATATATGAACATAAATAAATTAAACAAGGCACGTGTTTCAAATCGATATTGACAGTCAGGCATAATTTTTCAACTAAAACAACAAAGGAAAAGTGTTATTTTCACTTCTTTGATCAAAACATTATTAGAACACGTCTGCATCGTGAAAAGCAAGAGCCAATTAAAATAAATTAGAAATTAGAGTACCGTGCATCTCGCTCTTGATCTCTAATCTCCATCAACATCTGGTCCTCATTTTCTTGCCTGCTCTCTGCCCAAAGCCCAAACATGGCCATAAAGAGGGATCGCGCGAGCGGACAAGCAACAAAAAGAAGCAGCAGCTTTTGAAAGAGCAGGAGAAACAGCTGATGGGCCTGCTGCAGCGATTTGGTAAGTGAAAAAGAGCAGCAGCTGCTCTCCGCAAGGGCATGTGCCACCACCCTAGAGGTCCAGGTATAATAATTATTTTCACACCTGTTTTTCCTCCAGGTCGGATCAAATCCGACTGCTGGCAGCTGCAAGACCAGAGGCGCAGCAGCACCACGCTACGCCTTTTATGTTGCAGGAGGCAAAGGGTTCATAATTTTATCAGGTTTAAAATCTAGTCAAACGTAAAAAAATCACTAGAGCAGGGAAAAATTAACATTATAAATTTAAAATTAGGTAGTTAATAGAGAATTAAAATTTTATTTAATTATATTATTTCAAGAAAATTGTCAAAGAAATTTTAGATAAAATCAAAATTGTATAATCGGTACAGTTATTGCAATTTTAACCTAAAAAATATAAACACTTAATTTTTGTATAGTTTTCTTGTTAAACAAAAATGATATTAAATCACGTAATTTAAAGATATTTTAAATAGTTTAATTTAATAATTTTTCCAATTGTTATTTGTGAAATTTCAATGTGATTTTCGGACTGTTTTCATTAATAAATAATAAATTAATAACAGAAAATTAAAATTAATTCAAAATTCAACAAATAAATGAATCAGTAACTCCATTGTCATCGAATACTAATGAAAGATTAAACTTGCAGAAATTTAAATGCCATAACTCAGTTGGTAAGATAAAAAAGCTTATTTCAGAAAGGTAGACCTTTAAAGTTTCAGAAAAATGATTATCTGAAGTAATATCACGCAATCGCGGTGTATAAACGCGGCGTGGATTTAGTAACGCGAAAGCGCATCTACTATAATATACGCTCAATCCGGTTTCCTCCCTCGCAAAAAAATCAACGCAGAATCACCACAAGAAAACATACCGTGACATTCAAGACTCGCGGAGGCGGCCAGGGAAAGAAAGAGCCGATCGGGTGATTGGAGAGGTCGGAGAGCGACAAGGTTTATCAAGGGGCATTAACAAATTACCTTTTGTTTAGTCTGGAGCCCTGTGTGTTTTCCACTTTCGGCGCAATCAGCACATTAGGCCGACGAAAATGATTTGATCTCAGCTGCTGCAGGTAGCCCGACCAACTAAGTCCGTACGTGCACTCGGTAATTCAGCCAGACACTGCTCTCGGCTCAGCCAGACACTCACCTTTGTCCCCCCTCCCTCTCCGCCGAAGGTACAGTACACTCCAGCACAAGCAAACAGCCTCCAGCGCTCCCCGCATGCATCGCACTCTCGGTTTTCTTCGCGCAGGCAGTAAAAGCGTTTTGTAACATTTTTTTCCATCTCCGCTCTTTATCTCGCATCTCCGCTCCAGGACCGTGTAATGTATTTTAAACTCACCAGATTTGTGCCAATGAAACTTTTTAATGGAGCTGTATACATTTTGTTTAACACAGTTTAGCATATTTTCAAAAATGAAAATTGTTTATATGCATGTGTTTTGCAAAAATTAATTATTTTAAGTTTATTGTTTATTATAAATTTATTAATGGGTTTTGAATTATCACAACCTTCCCAAATACATACAAATTACAATGTGTTAAGTATGGTATAAAAAAGATAATTAATTACAAAAACAATATTTTTTCCTTTTTACTCATAAACTGCTCATAACATTTTATTAAATTTTAATACTTTTTGCAATAAAATTTTAACGATTTAATTTATTAACAATTTTTTTTTTATTATTTAGTTGTAATTAAATATTTATTTTTTTTTTTGGAGCAAAAATTTTATTACAACATAAATCTACTTTAACTAGTTGATTTATATATTTTACAATGTGATAAAGTAAATTGTTGTATTTTATTCCCAAGGAAGGTTTCAGTTTTACACAATAATAAATCATACATTATCATTTTGTTATTTTGCATTATAAAAGAAAAGGTAATGTATCAGCTAAGAATCCAAATAGGAGCCAATTTGTGATGCAATGACATTCAGCTACTTTTTGTGTAAAATGTTTCAATTTAAGGCTTTTTCACAATGCATGTATTGACTTATGTAATTATTATAGAAAAAGACATTATAAAAGGCGATAAAAGGTAACCAAATTTTTTTAACGAGATCTTAACTAGATAAAGTTTGTTTGGCCTTTTCATATCTTGTTTTTAGATAGCAAAACTGGCACTCGGGAAGAATTTTTTTTTTTTAAATTGATGTCTTACAATAAAATACATACATGATGAGCGATAAGCTGCATTTTAAGACTCAAAAGCATAAATCTCCAACAATGAAATTGGCTCGGTATATTAAAATTAATTTTTTAAAGATCACTTACCCAGCAGCCGTGTTTCTCACGATGTCTTGCGGTTCGTTTTTTTTTCAAACAGGGATGAAAATTATAGGGGTGTAGTTGATGCGCGGTGGTGCGGTCGCTGTCTGTCGATGGATCTGAAAGAGGAGGCAGAAAAATGCAACATGCGGGACGAGCGGCACCAACATGCGTCCACCCACCGTCGATCAAGAATCAAGACTGCTGCTGGGCCCGCGTTGAATAATTTTCACATGAAACTCCCCGTGCTGCTGCCGGCTGCCCAGTCAGAATAAATAAATACGTATGTGGGTATAATACAATAATTCGCTTCTCTCGTGAGGGTCACGTTGCAAAATACGACGAAGCCTCGTGTGCAGGGGACAAATAGGATTAATGCTCTACGCGGTCGCGCGCTCTCCACTGGGCCACACCAGAGACTTCGAAACACAGAAAAACTAAACCAAAGCACATGCGGAACACACACATATTTTTTTTTATTTTCGTCCGTGCCCCCTTCGAAGTCATATAAAAATACTAATATCTAAAAACAAAGCCTCGTCTATCCTAGTCGGTGTTAATTTTGTATGTGAGAAAGTGTTCTATTATACTGCCAAAACAAAAATTTGTGTTGTTTTTAGTTTATAAATTGAGAGCGTTTGTCATTTGAAATGAAAAGTTGTATATTTTTGTTTTGTTTTAGACAATGAATTTACACATAAATTTTATTTCAATATCTCTTTAACAAGCCGCATGTACATACATTTTTGAGGGATGGACAATTGTTATTTCCACTGGAGTAGCTGCATAATAAATTAAAAGGTTAAAATATTCTAAACTCCCATTTACAGACGATTTTTCTGTTATTTTTTTCAATGCACGGACCAATAATAAGCAACACTTTCTTACTGTGCTTGCATTGAAGGAAATAATAAAATAAATTGATGACTTTGATTTTAAGCAGCCTCATAAGTGACGTGTGATAAACATGCAATTGGCAAGGTTGCATTGTTGTGATTTGTGATCAGCAAGAGGCAAAAAAATCATGGATATTAATTGAGACATTCTTTGCGTCTTCCGAAAAGCCACGAACGATAGATTGAACAATCCCATATTTTTTTTTAAATATTTATCCTGTGTTGCGTTTAATAATGCTTGATAGTGAGCAGGATAATTAATTTTTCAAACATAATTTATGGATATTTTCCAGATTTTTTCAATACTAAAGTGCAGAAAATAGGTGATTGGAAATGTTGGGTGGAACCGAGGATTCCTTACATATTTATCATATTCTAACAAAGATCTAATTTTAGTCTTGGCTTTACGGTTGACATGCCAAATAGCCTAATTACACAAATGCAACTATGTTGTTGAAGGTGACGGACTCCTTCAAACTTCCAAAATCTAGGAGTCTTAGAAAGGCGTTTGCAAATTGGTTTTAAGGTAGGTCAACAACAAGAGAGCATTTTCTGCGTTTTTTAATTATTATGGCCAATAGAATGAGGCATCACACGCACTAGGTCCAGTAACTTCAACACTTGCTGATTTTGAGATGAGCAGCTCACTTACTTTTTTACTCTGAAGGTTACCGCCGCCTCTCGCCCTTCTGAGTTTTGCGCTTTTCTTTCTTCTCCTGTTGTGCTTGTTTCTGCTTTTCTCTAAACAGAACAATGAAATTCAGTAATGGACTTACTACGATTTAAGTGTTAAATTTCAATAGATGGTTGGCATTTAAAATAAAAATGTAAATATTATTTTATTTATACCTGTCCTCCTTATCCTTTTCTTTTTTCTGGATTGCTTCCTGCTTTGCTCTTTCTCGTCTATCTTTGTCGGCTCTCTGGACGTCCTCAAAGTTGGTGTTTCTTTCTATTCCAGCACCCTTAGATCCGCCTTTGTTTGCAGCAGCTTTTTCCACTGCGAGTCCACTTGGCACAGCCACTTCCTCCTCCTCCTCTTCGTCTTCTTGATCGGCAACCTTGAATTTAATAAACCAATTTCTATAATTTAAAACATTATATACATAATCAAGTTATGCAATAGTAAAAACACTATTTGGTACCTTTTGCATGCTCATTTGGAAATACAGTAATAATTTCTTGCACATAATGTAATAGTGAGTGAATATGTATTTATATTTTATAAATAAAAATACAAACTTACGTGTCCATATTGCGATAGTATAGCTTCTTTAAGTCTTCGTTCTTCATCAGTGTAATTACGGACAGGAATTGTTGACTTGGCTTGGCTCTCCATTAGTCGAACAAGCCTCTCATCAACGTCCTCAGGTTTGTTTTGAGCTGCTGCAGCTTCTTGTTCCTCTTGCTTTTGACTGGAAAAAGTTTGCCATCTTTGAAGAATTTCTTCTCGAAGGCTGGAGATTCGACTCTCCTGAAATAATAGGGAAAGTTAATGTGTGCAGATCTCAAAATCGAAATTAATTGCTCTATGCACAATACACGAGTGAAATGTTTTTACCGTGATTTCAGACAAGATTTCTTCAAGGGACTCGTTCTTTTCTTCTTCTGTCTCATCGCCTTCTAAAATGCCTTTGATATAAGACGAAAAAACAGTTTCGTCTGTGTTCAGGGCCTTTAATTTGACGATTAACCACGAGTCGAAGTCATCACCGGCGATGGCACAGGCCATTTTTTTTGTTTTGAAACGTAGTTGAAGATTTTGTGTGTGGGGGCGCTCGATTCGATCACACTCGCTTGCAGCTTATTTCCCGCACCTGCCATCATGCCATGCCTGTGGCCCAAACTCAAAGCAGAAAATTTATTTAGCAGACGCAGAATGGATATTTACTTAATTACGTCTATTAATTAATAGCATTTTGATAGATCCTAAAAACTTGAAATTTTTCTTAATTGTAAGAGTGAAGTTAAATTAAACAGAAAATTTCATACGCATTTTGAATTTTGATTTTAATAAAATTATTCCTTTTGAACGCATTTTTATAAAAAAAAATTTTTTTATTTTATTTTATAGTCCAAAATTAATTATTTGTAATAAATTTCTAAAATATTTGAAGTTCATTTGTTAAAAAGATACATTAATATTAATTATACCTTAAAAAAGGGTACCCAGGGCATCCTACAAATAAAATTAAAGGTATTAGGTGCTTGGAAACAAATGCATAATATTTATTTTTAAATTTCTCAAGCGAACACCAGAAAATGATATCATATTAAAATTGGAATACTATCATTTAACTTCAAGAGTCTGACTAAGTTGTTGAGAAACAAGGTCAGCGATGTTTGCTTTGTCTGTGTCCTGCAGGGATTTGTTGTCTTTATCCTCCGCTTTAGCAGGAGTGCACGTCTTCTTGTGCAGACCCCAGTGCACCTTCTGGCATTCAGGTCCACAGTAAACCTCCTTCTTGCATCGAGAGCATCGCCTGTTGGCTTTTTCGTTGCCACATGCACTGCATTGAGAGTCGGTGGCAAAGCCACGGTGACCGTTAATTGCAGAAGTGACCACGGAAATCAAGCAGCCTGGCTCATAGCTATTTTTTTTTTTTTTTTTTTAAATGTAATTAATGCTCTGAACGATAAAAAAAATAACTTACTGAGGATCTTTAATTGCAGAGGCAATCCCATTGGCAATTTGCATGAAAAGGGTGCATTCCATAAAAGGAAATCGACGAACGGAAATTCTGACAAATTGGTCCAAACCAGTCGGCTTGATGAGTTTCTTTATGCAAATGTCTAAAACATCCCTGTCCTTGTCCTGCAGGCACACAAAAATTATTTTATAAAAATCTTGCTACGTTGTGAGTGTGCGAGAGAATATAAATTAAAGTATGCTCTGAAAAAATATTAAAATTAATGCTGATTAGGTTTATTACCTTCTCCCTCGCTTCGGACTCTTCGGCCATGGCTATTTCCTCGAGAACACTCAAGAGCCAGTGGAATTTGAATGATAGAACCTCATTAGTTTCGGAGCCCCGCTTCATCTCTTTTTCGCACATGAGACCAAGGACTGATTTCACCTGTTTGTGATTCTCAACTAGTGACCTGCTGTTTTGAAGATACATCAGCACACCAACTGGATGTATATTGACCTAAAGGAAGCCCAAAAATAAGTCTTAAATTGTGTCCAAATAAATTGATTAAAGGGGATAATTTTATAGGCAACTTACTTGCATCACAAATTTGTGTAGAGGATCAGCAAGGGAGGGGTCAAGTTTTGGTTCTTTCTCAAGTCCTTTGGGAGTAATGAAATAATCGATTTCGGACCGAGGGATGAAATTATTTATGGCTGCCACACAACCATGATTTCCTAAGGAAATTTTATTGTTGGAAAAAATTAAACAATTTGAATTTTTCAAATTTGAAACATACCGACAAACGCAGCCATCTGAGCTGGTGTGCGCTTCACTGAGTTGAATGCTTGGCTTTTGGCACCGTGCTGCAAAAGCAACGAGCAAACCTCTTCTTTGCCGGAAAGAGCTGCAAAATGCAAAGCTGAGTAGTTGTGCTCGTGTTTGCCAGAGTTCACATCAGCACCCTAAAGAGAGAACGTTAAGTGGATTATTTCAACTGCCATATTATGCAAATTATATTTTCATAGTAACTATTAACTGTTAATTGTAGTATTATTTCTCGAGCCAGAAAAAAATGTAGAATACGTTATATAATAATAAGTGTTCGATTGAAAAAAATAAAGTGGAAAAATCAATATTTTTGGTCACTGCCAGTGAAGAAAGTATTGACTTGCATGTTGGAGCAATTCCCCAGAGATGGATGGGGGAAGCTAATAATTTTTTTCAAGCACGCATCTACCTTTTTAAGTGATTCTGAAAAAGCTGAATAATTTTCTAGTAAAGGAATTTCCATTATAAAATCCACATTAAATGTCAACACATATCTATTATGTAATATAGTGTGTAAAATAGAGCATCAAGCATGAAGGGTTTTACCTGATCAATAAGGAGCTGGGCAATTTCCTTATTTCCTTTGTACACGGCGTGCTGCAGGAGTGTCATTCCATTCGAGTCGACAAAGTCGATGTCAAATTTCCTATTGGAAAGAATCGCCTGCAGTCCTGCACTATCATTATCGGTGACTTTTTGCGACGCCTGAAGCTGTTCTTCACTCAACTCCATGTCAAGTTCTTCTTGGTCCCTCACTATAAAAATATAATAATTTAACAACAAAATTATCAACAAAATTCTTGATCGAAACTCACGACTTTAGACAGAATACTTTTTGGCACGTTTTTTCTAGAGTTTTTAGAAGTCTCTTGGATTTCAAAATTTTCGAGCTCTGCAAAAAAAGACGAGAAAAACATTTTAAACCTGCGTAAGGACGTGTGCGCTAACTGCTCACAATTTTCTTTATTGGAAGTTCAAAATATTTACAGAACATTACTTTTGTACATAAATAATCTGTAAAATAATATTAAAATTAAGAGCACTCACATCTTTTCTCTCGTGCTCACCGGTTGTCAGCTATCTCTGCTTGTAAAATTATTTTCTTTTCTCTCACAGCACGAAACACGAAGCGAAAAGACGAGAAACTTCAAAAACAATAATAAAGGAGAAGATTGAGGATCGAGCAACAAAAATGCCCCATCTATTGGTAAATGATGGAACTATATGGCATCAAAGATTAAAGAAGATTGCCTTTTACGAACATTTCCAATTTTATTGTTGTGTTCCAATTTTATTGTTGACAACAATAAAACTTATTCTTGGTTAAACGTTTTCTCCCACTTCTTCGCCTCTCCCATAAGACTTGATCACAGCGAACCCCACCCCATCCAGAGTCCACCCACAACCACCCGAGCATTGTTTGCACAGAGTTGTACCTGGCATTTTCATTGGTGCACTTCGCTCCAAATCTGGTAAGCACGCACCTGAAAAGGTGCCTTTTACATTTTGCGGCGAGTTGATTAAAATATTTGAGCCCCGAGGGCAGCACGTGCACTTCAGGTGTGTTCATGCATTGCGCCCCTCTAGGTATCCGTAGAGCGTTTGTTTGTGTATCGCACCTAACACAATCCTCAAAAAAGGCAAACAAACTCTGGCCAACAACTTTTCGACAGCGGTAAAAACGGTTTTATGACACTATCAAGTGTTTTTGCACCAAATGCCTTATATCTTAGTACGCGGCTCGGTTGCCCAGCACTTGAATACGCACGTTAGTGGCTTGAAAGGTAATTTAAGCGCGGTGTGAATTGCGTCTTGCGTCACAGAATTTTATTATTATTTCGAGAACCATTATCGTCGATTATTGTATTGACGAAACGCTTAGATAACGATTTGTACTAACGCCTCTGGCTTTTTCGTATATGTGCAGCTTCTTTAAGGTGTGTGCTTTTGCCGACGACACACTCTGCTTAATCATGTTATATAATTTTTTCTAGCTTTTCAATTTTATTATTAAATTATTAACGTTTATTTTTGCAGCCAACGACATTGTCCAACTGCAGCACTTTGCTTCAGCGAGAAAAGCGCCAACCGAGGATCCGACCACAATTACCTACGATTTGCACCCGTGCGTGCTGTTGACTGCCCTTGAAGTCCTTGGGTACTCCGTCGTTGCGTGCTGCGCCGCTCCTACTGGCTTAGGAGGCGAAATCCAATATCTCTGGACGCTGCACAAAGACTTCCCTGAACCGGAACCAGACCCTGACTTAAATCATCACTGACTAGAGCAGAATTCAGTTATCTGCGCAACATATCTGCTGAAAGGTTCACCAATTTGACATTTTTTTTTTAATTAAAAAATAATTTTTTATTTTATTTATAGAATGGCTGCAGTTATTACAAGCTACGTACTTGTGAAAGGTTCGGTTCATGGATCCGACTGCACCGTTTTTGGTCTCGAGCCTCAGGACGAAGAGCAGCTCCTCTCCCAATACCAGTCCGGAGGAAATGTCATGAATGGAAAAATTGTGAAAGGTTGGAATTCCATTTATTTCTATTTTGTCTTCTTCTGGTATCTATATTTAACCAATTTAATTTTTAGGATCCACGATTTCCATCCTCAATTTATTGGCACGCCTTGGCTTCAAAGTTATCAGCAGCACCGGTGAGACAGACACCACTTGGACCCTTGAAGTTCGAAGGACAGTTCCTCCTCAGCATCCTACTTTGACAGTCACCTCTTCAAAGAAATAATTTATTAAGGTGATTGGTTGCTGTCATTTAAGATTTGTTGTGCCCCCAGTCTGCCATGACAACTGCAATCCAATATTGATTGTGTCACCCTGTCAATCTATTGCTTCTCATGCATAAATTATTGAAATGCAATGCAAGCAATGAGAATATTTTCCATTTCATTCGTGTCCAATAATTTAACATGTTTTCCAATCATTTCAGTATTAACTATGACTTCTCACAAGCACCATAATTGCCTTGAACATGCACCTGCTCAATCAACTTTACATCAATCACTTGACGAAATGGATTTTGAAAGAGGAATTTGGCCTGCTGGTAAAAATTTATTCAGATTATATTTTTTATTCTTAATTATTATTATACAAAAATGTTTCAGCTCTTGATGGGGATTTGAAAATGATTGAAGATTTTTTGCTGAAGGATAGCAGTTGGGTGAATCGGCCTGATGCAGCCGGCTACACAGCACTCCATTATGCCGCTAAGGCAGGCCATTTAAGCGTCTGCGAAAAGCTCCTTATTTCTGGGGCCAATGTAGATGCTACAACTAAAGCTGGTAATTTTCTCCATCCTGCTTATTACCTATTTTGCTAAACAGAATATTGTAGGTCTGGCAACACCTCTGCAAAGAGCGGCCATGTGTGGAAAATATGATGTGTGCCAGCTGCTATTGAGCCGAGGGGCAGACGTCAATAAGAGGGATGTGGACGGGAAAACTGCCCTGTCAAGAGCAAAATCAAATTGCCATCCAATTGTAGCAGAACTTTTGATTGAGTGTGGTGCAGTGCTTTGAATCACTTTACTTTTGCTTGCTTCACTTTTTCATTTACTCTTACTTTTATGTTTGTCATTTCGGGAAAATTAGCTGCAGTGCAACAGATGGTTGAGTGTAAATATATGTCCGAGCAATATGTAGATTCAACATAATGAATTGAGTGCAGGCCCTGCATTTTAAAATATAGTTAAAACAATGAAGGTGAGAAATAAAATTATGAAATGTATTTTCAAGTTCGCTTCGTAGAATAGAATTAATCTTAGAGAAACTAAATTTTTCTTGCCAGCTAACTTTGTCAGTGCAAAAAGTAGAAATAAATCAATCTAATTGATTCTTGCAGAATGTGATTGTTAATTTATAAATTACCTTCCAACCAATAATTGAATTATCCATCAAACTTATATTTTAATAAATAAAAAATTGTCCTGCAGTTTTGCTTCTGTTTTACAGTTGCTGCGATTTTGTAGCAAAAATAATTAAGAAATTATGTCATGATAATTATGCTCTGCATTTAATTTCAATTTTCACAACAGCTTCTTCAAAACGTTTTTTCATATTTTATCACATTAAAATAGCAAAATTTTATTTTTTTTCCAATTGATATAACAGTTCAGCCTTTTAGCATCCATTGCAAAATTCAGTTTGAAAAAATTACTACATGGTAATCTGACTGCGGGCATAGTCGAGGGCAATTCTCATCGCGGTATCTTGCAGACTGCTGGTTCGAATTATGAGCGTGGCCAGCATGGCAATGTCTGTGAATTCGACGCCACGGAAGGCTTCAGCGACTTTTTGCATGAGCTGTTCTTTTTGATAATCAGAAAAATCTTCATTCAAAACCTGCCACAACGGCTTCACGGGCCCAGTGGATTTGTAGGCAAGGGTTGTGCCAACTATTCCACCTTAAAAATGAAGCAAAATAATCTTAAAACTTTCTTTTGAGTTTGAGGTATGTACCTAGGACCAGGCCTACGGGTCCACCAAATAGGGTGCCAACCAGGACAGACGTTCCAGCGATAACCCCAGCTTTTGCAGACTGTTGAGCCGTAACCATCACATTCCTGCTTCTGGCAACAGTGGCCAACGCGTCCATTAGAACATCTCTATTTACAGGCATCTTTGTCCTCGTCTTGCAAACTCAATGGCAAAGATTTGAAGACCTGCGCAGAAAATATAATAATTAGATTGTATAGTATTACATAAAAAAACATGCACTTTTACTTTTATCTTAACTACTATTTAGACAAAAAAAAATGTTAAAATTCCCAAAATTGCGATAGTAAAATTTTTAAAATTCATGGAATAGCAGCAATATTTTACATTTTGCAAGAAAATAAAGTGAAAATAAAATTTCAGAAACCCGTGAAAATACACAAGTTATTAGCCACAAAATTATATTGTATTATTTTGAAACTCTGCACAATTATAACTGAAAATGAAATGTCACCGTCATATCAAGGACACGAAAGACAAAAACCTATAGGCAATAGGCTATAGGACAGTGTGGACATGTGTAAAGTAAGGAAAAACTATTGATGCAATTAAATCCATGATGAAATGAGAAACTATCCTCATGATTTCCATTGCTTAACATTTCACATACCTTATTAAGTCTCGGCAAGAATTTTTCGGCGCAAGTTTTAGAGCATATCTCCAGCAAACCATAGGAAGAATTCAACACATATTTGGCATAAAAGTCTACATTATTTTGGTGCTTTTTGTAACACAGACTCTTTCAAGTGTGCAAAAAATGTACGGTGGGGAGAACAGATGATGGTGTTTACGAGAAATACTAGGTGAGAAGGACATGCGCGCGCCACGTATTGTCATATTAATGAAACACTCACGTTTTACTAGAAAAGATTATTTGTGAGCGACGTCGACTAAATTAGAGATTAGGAAAAGGACTTTGAGTTATGAATGAATAGAGACGCGTCAGAAACCGACACGTGTGTTCTGAAAACTATAAAATGAAAAATAATTAAATCCTTTTTTGTCGACACAACAAATTTACAAATTAAATGAGAGGGGAAAAGAGAAAAGTTGGAGAGACAGAAAAATGATAATTCTATATGCAGTAAACTGAAATTAAAAATAAAGACAACGACACGCCATCTCGTTTGTTTTCAAACATGGTAAAAATTGTTTAAAATGTATTTTAATTTATAATGAATCAAATATTTTTTTGTATATTTATAGAAATTTGTCTTAAAAAGCTACTTCAGCTACATAAGTGTTGAAAAATAAATAATAAAATCGTCACAGTCGCAAATTATGTTTTTCCGGAAAAAAATACTACGTTCATTACATCTACGCCTAAACCGCTGGAGAGAAACTGTGCCGCATAGCTGCTTTGTAAAGCGGGTGGCGGAATTTATCCAGTTCAACGATCTGTAACCACCGATCAGCAATAAAACGTCTTGCTCATAAAATATGACATCAGGTCTATAAATTATAAAATTTCTGCATAAAAAAGATTTATTATTTTTAAAATTTATGACACTCCGACTCGCGAGATCTCGCTAAAAGTCCAAGTCGCCGGCTCACACTATAAGTTGGCAGGGAGCCGCGGAGGAGGAGGGGGACGGCGACGCGGTACTTAAGGGTCCAGCGACCGACCCCGCGGCCAGTCAAGAAAGATGAGCTGCAAGAGTGAGGCGGAGGCCCTGTGCGAGGCGCGCCACCCCCGTCGCGAGCCACCCCCGCCAACAAGTAGGCCCATTGTACTACTTTTGTTGGCAGCAACCGGCGCCTGTTTGGGCGCCGCAATCATCGCCGCCCTCGCCGCCCCCGAGCTGATGGCCCTGCGAGCCCAACACAACCGACTCCGACTTGACTTTGATCTTCTCCAAGTCAGACTCAACGCCTTCTTGCAGGTAAATTAAGGATTTTGAGTAAAAGACCAGTTTTATTTTTAAATCTACAGTAAAGAGTCACTTTTATATTCATATTTTTTGCGTGAATTATTTATTAATTATTTTTGTATTATGAAATTCTTTAAAAAAAATTGTTTAATTGAATTTAGATGGTTACATATTATTGAATAATAATGAGAAACTGTAGGGGGGGGGGGGGGGAATTAATCATTTTTAATTTTTAGTCCATGGTGTGAATTTTAAATTTTTTTAGAGATTCATCGTCAACAAAGCATTGGCAAAATTGAACAAAGTGAAGAGTTTTCAAGTAAATTTTCCACATAAAGGAAAAAAACTGTTTTATGAGGCAAGGTGAACTGATATTTAAATATCGCATGTTCCTTTGCTTTAAATAAAGCCAGTTTAAAATAAAAGCTTCATTCTTTTTTTTCATCATCTGCAGTGAGGAACTAAAAATAAAAATAAATAATTATAGCCACTCACGCATTCAGCGTTCAAATCACTTGCGCTCCTCTCATGTTGTGTCGTTTTGTTTTATTCTTGAACTTGGCCTTAGCCTATGCGTGAAATAAGCGTTCATTTGCCGCCGCGCTATAATCGAATCGCTCTTGGCTTTTTGAAACAAAACTTGTCTAACTACATCATCGTTTGAACATTTACATGCAAGAGATGCTTCAAACACTTTTTAAATTCTTGAAGGCAAAGCATATAAAACATATAATTTGACTCGTCTTAACAGTACTATAATAATTTAATGTCACACAGATAAAATAAGTGATTGGTCTATAAAAAGATTAATATTTTATAATTTATATTTAATTAAATTTGGAGTTGACTATAGTTAAATAATACCGCATTGCAGTGTTTTCAATCTCAGTCGCAGTCGCTTTTGCTATTAGATGATTATTTTAGTTGATTAGACAGGTTAGATTAATTTGTTTGCCTTTGCAATCAATGTTTTGTGACCGTTGAAGATGTGCGTAACAATTGGTTTTTTCGATAAAATTGGTTGTACCACACATCCGTACACTTCTCGTCTCTTAAATTCATCACATTTTGTCGGAATTTAATCTTGATCGATAACGGGCGAAGCGCTTAATCTTTTTGAAGAGGTGTACTTGTTTGTTTCACTCTCGTCGCATGTTGAAAAGTAAACACTTTCTGAAGTGGATGTTTTGCAAAAACCGCAATGGGAAGCTGATTCACTCTTCGCGTCCGCGTGCCAATGATTCCTTGGCGCCGCAAAATTTTCAACCTTAACGAATCAAGAAAATATTTAAATTATTGATGCTGAAAAAAATCAAAATGAAAATTGATGCAGATATTCACGACCGCATTCGCAGAGCAAAATCGGAAATGCAGATTTTGACCCGGTTGCATCTCGTGAATGTTAGCCGAGATCGAATTGAAAAAAAAATACGGTTTCCTCTCAGGCCGAGGGCCTCTGCGTCACCGCGGAGACCAAAAACCGCAGGCAGGCAAGATTCTCTAGAAAGTCGCTAGTGACTCACCCTTTCTCCTTCTAAAGTTTTCCTTCTCTATTATATGCGCTCGTCTCATTTTCCTCCCTGGGGGTCTGATGGCGATAAAGAGAATGACGGTTAGCAGGAAGTGTTTAAAAAAAAGGTTTTATGTTTTTTTACTGACCTGAGAGGGATTTAAGAACTGTTGCTTAAATAATTGTGAGAATACAATGCGTCGTCAGTTATAGTGAAAATACCTTTAGACTAGCTATAGAGCGTGGGCGAAACATTCAAGTCATTAAATTTGCATCTCGGCTGCTGAGCGCGTCTAAAAGGCACCCGAGAAAAGGAATTCGCCGATTAATTTTGCGTGCGGGTCAAGGAGAGACTTGTTTTCGCGACCGCCAAACCCCGCTCACTTTGCGCAATTGTTCACTTTTAGTTTGCTGAGACTGACGCCCCTAATTAATTGAATCCTCTCGATATTCAAAAGGGAAATTTTTACAACGGACATGTAATATTTGCATAAATGTGAATCATTGATTGATGTGTGCATTGATCGTTGCTGACCAAGGCAAACAGACAGGGGAACTTTGTTCCAACTCAAGTGGCAGAGATATAAAATAACACAGACGAGAAAAATCAATTGTATTCCAAATCTATTATATTAGTCTATTCTCTGAGCTAGACTTAATATCATCTCAAAAATTAATGAGATTTTTATCGTTAAATATTTGATAGAAAAACGTGACCTTGTCAGGTGATCACATATTTAATTGATAAGAAACAACTTTGGCTGTGAGTTGTGAATTATGAACAACAATAATTAAAGAAAAAAATACTTATTTTATTCACTTAAAAATGGTAATTCTCTATTTAATTACAAAAAATATAAAAATCAAAATAGACGACAAGAAAATCGAGATTACTGTGCATAAATGTAAATAAGAAGAAAGGAATCATAATTTATTTTGAATTATTTATATATAGCTCAATTATTGCCTCAATCTCAATGGCAAAGTTTTAGAAAAAAGTTAAATGTGGTTTCAAAGAAATTCGAAACTGGCAGTTAATTTTGAACAAAGGGTGCTAAAAACTGTGAACTAATTACAAACTGTGTGCAAGAGGCACAGAAAGTAAAATGCACTTTTTGTTCTCTGGTCGCCTGTCTGTATCCTTGAAACGGTTTCGATTGCTTTCGGAGGCGCCGTGGCACCTCCAGTACGTAATCCATCTCCGACGTTTCTTTATCTGCCTAGTGCGATCGGCGCCGCGGCTCGGCTCGCGAGCTATGTGCAGGGGCAAAAGGCGCGCCTAATTTGGAAGCGCTTCGCACAAAGGCTGACTAACGCACTCCACCGGCGAACAGCTGGTTGTAAAAGCTGCTCTCGTAATTATGTCACGAACACGCGCAACAATCGCAACAATCAATGTCGCCCGCGTGGCCAACAATGTCAAGGATTGTTTTGAGAGCGGCGCCATCTGCTCTGAAAACGCATCTCGCGGCGCCACTACCTTTCCTGGCGCATGCAATTTTTCTTCCGGCGAAAAAGCCACGCACGCTTTCGTGATTGATTGATATGAACTGAACATTAATTATTGTTTCTACATTAAAATCGAAATTCAAATAGTAAATTTAATTTTAATTCACTACTACTTTTAAACAGCGAGAGACGAGATGTTTTTATTTGCTACCTTGCCTACTTGAAACACTTAACTTAAATGTGGGTTAATGTGCACGACTTGCCCCTAAAATAAATTCACTCTTCTTAATTGTTTTTGTTTTGAAAGTCTAGACTTTCTTAGAATACAATGCCAATGATAGTGCAATTCTCTCAAAACTATATAATAGTCACGTTAGTAAAAATAGCCTGCAGTCTAGTTTGTTTACGGTGAAGGCGGATAGAGAGAATCAAGAGCGCGCCTGTTGTGTTCATTGAATCAGAAAAAGGCTATAAAAACCGAGAGCGCCGCAAGTTGCGTCACATTTTCTTGACGCGGATGACGCGACATTTCGTGCAAAAATACCTTTTTCAGACGGAGAGAGATCATAAAATAATCAGATATCGTGCGCGCCGAGGATTTTCGCCGAACCCGGCCGCCGTTATTTCAAAGTCACTATCGGTCACGATCGGCTACTTTTTTTTATCTAATGCAAGCGATCGCATCAACGATGAAATCATTTCATAAAAAATGAATTGAAATTTCTTCGGAAATTGAGGCATAGTGAGGCGTTGGTGGCGAGTTGGGAAACGGAGCGAGGAAGGGCGACCGGAGGGCAATTACATCTGCAATTCGCAATTGCTCTCGCCTCGGGATTTTACAACTCTGCTGCTCAGCTGGGGAATTTTTATTGCGGAAAAACAGCCCACATGGCCACCAACGAGAAACACATTTGTTTTTTATTTCTATTTACAAGATATTTGGATGGAAGTTTTATGTAATTTTTTTCTTTTGTCTCTCCGCATGAATGTGTTTCATTTTGTCCTTCGGATAACTGCTCGTTGGAAGTTTTTTCCCTGATAAAAAATCTCCCCGTGGGTGAACCTCTGCAGAGGTGCCAAGAACCAGTTTCCTTTTTTCTATCCCTCATCGGTGGTTCTCGCTTGAAAGGCTGTTTTGAGCGCGCGTCACTTGACGCCTGATGACCTTCCAAGGTCGCGGCAACAAAAGGGCCTCGAAAGTGGGTCACTTGCTAACTCGACGCTCGCGCGAATTTCATCCCGTGAGGGCGACTTTCTTAACATTTTTTCCTTTTCGCATGGCGCCACCGCGAGAGGCTTTGAATTAAAAGTGACTCACGCATAAATTAAGCAATCGCATATCACATAAATGTACGCTAATCGGCTTAATCAACATGACAATACCATTATAAACTTGCATTATTGAAGTTACTTAACAGCTACAAAAATATTATATAACAAAATTTTTTTATAATTCCATGCATAAAGTAAAAATTGGAGCAGTTAAAAATATTTTTTATTCTAAATCTTTTTATTTAAATAATATTTTTATTTTATTGAAAAAAGCATTAAATTACTTAACCATTAAAAAAAAGATAATATTATACTGTATACATTTCATAGTTTAAAATTTAAAGTATTAAGTGGATTTTTAAATTGTTGTTACCATGTGTGAGAGGTGTGAGGCAATATAAAATAAAAAAGAACAGCAATATTTTTGCATAAGAATAAAAAAATGTCATTTTAGAAATGTTAATGCAATTTTTGGGAATATATTATAAATTTTCAGAATGATGAACCAGTTACTCAAGCAGCTTTGGCAGCTCTGACCGACTCGCAGTCGGATCAAGTGCAGTCGGACGAAACAGATTCTTCGTCGGACGACTTTAATGACGAAGATGATTACGATTATGGCGAAGATGATGACGAGGATGATGAAGAGGGCTCGGCGCGGCGTCGGCGTCGCGACGTTGAGTTGGCTCCACCAGTGCGCGTTGCCGCATCTGGATCAAGAGGCCCCATGATGGGCCACACGGCCGACGGTGTGCCCATAGTTGCCCTTTCTTATGACGAGGCAAAGCAAATGAACCGCTCGGGCCACCATCTGCGTCTTTACGACCAGCTTGCTTCGGCGGCGCCGCTCGCACCCACTCCAGATCCTATCAAATTGCATCACCGCGTCAGTCCTCTATGGTCACCTCCGAAAAAGCACAGTAAGTATCAAAATAAAATTGGTCATGACTTTTAAGTTATCGTTGTAGACGAATCAGTATAAAAAATTACTATGACACGTTTTTTAATTTTTTTGCAAACAATTTCTTAAGTAAAAAATTTAATTTAGAGTGAAAAATTGATGCATTAGAAACGTCTGCGCTTTTGAATTAATTGAAATCGCTTGACTACACAGTGAAAGGGGATCAATTATTTGTCCTCATTTGACTTATAAACCATTTCCAAGTCGTAAATAACAATGGTATTGCGGCAAATAAGAGACTATTGGCTCTCAATCGGTTAGAACATCAGCACATTTATCTTATTTGAGTCAATTTGAATCGACAGATCACGAGAAGAAAAAAGCAACAAGCGCGACACCCGGCCCCATGCTGGAGCGCCGTTCCCGAGTGATGCAGACGCCCGAAGAGGGTGAGTCTGTGTCCCTCAACGGCCCCGCTCCTCCAGGCGTGGTGCTCCGCGTGCTGCAAGGGTCGTCTGGCGGGCAGCAGCCTCCGCAGGCGCACGAACTGCCGCCCCCGACGTTTATCCGTCGACCGGCCAGTGGACTCGTGCGGTCCGGGCCTGGTGACGCCAGTAATGCAGAAAGGCGCCCGAGACGAAAGCAGCGGCCGAGAAGCGACGACGCTGGAGCTTCAAACCACCACCCATTCCGTGTCGCCGCGCACTTCACTGCCAACTCGTCCATGTACACACTCGCACATCCAAATTACAGAGGTAATGAACTGAGCTCAGCAACAACATTAATTAATTTAGGCTACAAAAATTTTCAAAATAACTTATAATGAGTTTTTAATTTTATGTAAATTTCATTTTTTTTTCGGTATAACACAAGGCAATCTCTGTCCAAATATTATAATATAATTATTATTAATTAATTTTTTTTAAACTACCAATTTTTATCATGTAACTTATTTTCTTTGTTTTCACTCTTTTTCCTTTTTACTTTTAAAAATTTTACTATAATACACTTAATTTCAACTTGCCAGGCAACGGACGTCTTCGTCATGCTGGCGTCTTCACTGACTGGAGCTCAGATAGCTTCATGGACGAGCTGGCTTTGGACAAGTACTTTGGCTTGAAAGACGGAATTCTCACTGTCAAACTCGGTGGCCTTTACTATTTTTACTCGCAGGTAGAACCATTGAATTTTTCACGAAAATAGTGCTGTAAAATTAACAAATGTTTGCAGATTTATTACATTGAGGAGCACGACAACAACGGCTACAACGTGTACGTGAACAACGTCGTTCGGCTGCAGTGCGTCACGACGACGCACAGTAACACAAATGTGGTCAAGGTGAACACATGTTACACCGGAGGGGTGCTTCACCTTCGGACGGGTGACACCCTTTTCCTCAGGGACATCGCTGGTATGCGTTATTCACTTTTCGAGCCCGAAAAGAGTTTCTTTGGCCTCTTCCGATTTGCAAACGCGCTCCCCCGCTCTCCTCTCAACTGAGAATCTCGAACTCTCTCTCCATCCCGTTGTCACCACTTTGGAACACCCATGTTCAAAAACGATCTCACACTCTTCCCTAAAAATTCATATAATTCAGCGATTTTAATGGACGTGCCATTCAGGAGAAGAAATGAAATGTCTATAGGTGAACCAAGGTGGACTGGTGAAATGCTACTCGGGCTGCTCTTTTGTTAATTAACTTTTTTCATTAAATAATTTATTGAATTGTATCCATATGTAATTTTTAAAAGTCTTGCTCTAGGAGCTCTTTGGTTTTAATGTAATTTTAATAAATTATAAGCTATATTGAATCAAATTAAAATAAAATAATAAGAGTTGAAAAATCCTGTAATTCATGATCAATAAAAAGCTGTTTTTTGTTTAGTTTTTGTGCCATCATCATTAATAATTTCTAATTTTTTCTCCTCTTAAATAATATGTAAAGGCCTGTTGCTCGTTTCGATTTATAATATTATTTACTATTATTTTTCATGTGTGCTCTGGTGGGTGAGAGAATAAAAATGTATACTTTTAGCATATACGTACATGTACATTTATGTATTTTTAGCAAGGAATAAATACGTACATATTTTATGGTCAATTAACAAAAGAAGGCATCCTTTCTCTCCTCCTCCTCTCGCATAGCTTGAGTACAGTACAGTTATTCGGTCGTATCGCTGGGTCGCTTGAATGTGGTGAAGCTCTCAAGAGCTTTATAGATAGTCAGTTAAAAGGAGTGACGTAGGCAGCCCGCTCGACGCCAGAGACGTGCTGATTGCCTAAATCCTATTCGAAGGGTGAGCTATAGCTGTCTCCATTCAGTTTAGTTCCTTTCAAATTACAAAATAGCTCAGTGTAGAATTAATTTCATTTGCGATTGCGAAAGCAGAATAAGGAAAAGAAGTGTATAATATAATTGGTGAAAATTATTTTATAATGTTCATAATTATAGTCCTTTTCCATTTTGCTTTCTATTTTTTAAATATAATTATGACTTATGACTCTAGTTTTATGACAAGTCAATTTTTATTATGAAAATTGTACTTTTTTCATATTGCAACAGACTTATTTCACAAAAAGTAAAAGAGTCTCATATATTAAAATAATTCATTTTGTCAAGATGGAAAATGGAGATTTCAATGAGCGATTGCAAGAAAAAAAGCGCATTCCACTAAAAATGCTAAAATTTTGAGTCAAGTAGATGTTTAAAGTAATAAGTCGGGGTTTGTCAAAACAAGTATTCAAGTTTAATGTCAAGTATCGTCAATCGTCAGCTAAGTACAAAAATAAATAAATAAATTAACACACAGATCATGCTCCAACGCGGTGCCCAAGCAGGGGGGCGGACGTAACACCTTTTGGCTAAATCACAGTTTACGCACAGCTGGATTTTGCAGTTTTTGAGTTTTTATTTTTCCTCAAAAAGAGAGTTTTGAGCTTATGGAACACATGCAGTTGTCATGGAAAATGAAATCAAAGCACAAGGCACAACAACAGATTGCTCCTATGAGAGTTACAGAGGGGCTTCAGGCAGGAGGGGGCAGAGGGGTAACTCTTGAGCAGGGTATGCATTTTTGGCCATGCGGCAAAGGACGGTCAACCCCAGGCAGTGGAGATGCCGTTTGAAATGGTGTTGCCGATCCAGGCAAATGAGGTGACAATAGAAACGTACGAGACGGAGAGTCCCTTGTAAATCCAAGAACCCCATGTGGCGCCGTTTTGGCTGTCAATCCTGGACTCGATCTCCTGGCACAAAACGCGCCGGTCGTGCGAGCGGCCGCACCGCACGTCGCACACCAAGCGCTTCCGACACTCGGCATCACAAGACGGCCGCACCGGCGAATTTTTCCAATAATGCCTGAATTTGGAGGAAAAAAATAATTCAGATCTCTAAAAATATTTATATCAAAGAAATCTTACTTGTAATAGATGTCAAACACTTCTTGTTCTGAGGCGAACTTATCTAGTAGGGTGTCCCACTCTTGTGGCGCTAATGAATTCATCTTGTAGGCCGCTTTGGCCGAATACAATTTGTACCAGATTGGATAGTCGTATAAATTTGCATCCTTCAGACTCATCACCCAGTTTTCGTGGTCTAGTACCATCTTAAACAGACAAATAAACGTGGTATAAAAATGTGATAATATGCTTTGCAGCTGTTCACAGTGAAATAAAACTTGATGATATCCAGATATTATCATTGCAAGATTTTTTTATAAATTAAAAATAAAACTCACTCTTGTAGTGTGAGCGTGGTCTGCGTCCACATAATAAATTCGATATCCTGGGTTTAGGTCATAGTAAGGCGTCACCGATGGTCCAATGTAGGCAATCGAGGTGACTCTCGAAGCGTCAGTGCTATCATAAAAAAGCTCAAATTCGTCAAAGTGCGTGTGTCCGAAGAACTGCGCCGTGATTGTCGATTCATATCTGTAATGAAAAAATTAAATAATAAATTTTGATGATGAATTTACTATCAGCTTTCGAATATTAAAAAGTGAATCGCTATAAATTTTTTGAAACGGACCTGTTAATAATATTATAGTAGTTCCTGCTCCACACCTTTAGGCAGTCAGAGTGCCCTGGCGGGATGTGCCCAATCAGGTGAACTTTCTCCTTATTTATCTCCGCAGCCTGCAATTCGTAAATGAGCCACTGGAGCTCATGGCCAGGGTCGGTTGAGTTCAGTAAGAGCCACCAATTCTTGTTGTTGCAATTGTTCATGTTGAGAGAGATGACGCGGAAGCCGGGCCGAACTAGGACAGAGTAAAAAGCTCCTTTTCGCACTGTGGGACTGGTGGATGCTGGGAGCCAGCGCCGCCACTGCTCGTCCATCTCGTCATACAACCAGTCAATCGACAGGTCTTTCTTCACAAACGGAGGTGGAAAGCTACAAAGTAATAAAATAAAGTGTGTTTTAGTTATTAAGGTAATTAAGTCAATTTTATTTGTAAGTACCTGTTTACTGGAACACTCTCGTGGTTGCCGAGCGCAGGAAAAATTGGCACATTGGGAAAGGTGGTGCTCAGTTGCTCCACGGTTTGCTTGATGATGCTTAAGTTCTCGTCACGCGTCTGGTTCCACACGTCGTGCGGAGGCAGATCACCCGTCCATAAAATATAGTCAATGTCCTATAAAATTTAAATGAAAAAATATTAAAAAAAAAAAAAAAATAAAAAGTGACTAAATTGGACGAATATTTATATTTAAAGCTTATGTAATAAAAAAAAAAGAAAGTGAAAATTGATAAAAAAAAATCAAAAAAATTATTACTGACCGGGTGGGTCGTTTTGATATGCTCCAGCATGCTGTCCACCGTGCGCTTAGGAGTGTCACATTTTCTATAGTCGCCCCAACGACCAGCGGCTGCTGCTGCGTTGGCTGGAGGCCCATTGGTAAGTCTGCAGCAAAGCGGTTCGCTGCACTCGGCGTTGGCTCCCTCTTGGTAATAAGGGTCAAAATGCGTGTCGCTGAGGTGCAGAACTTTGAAAGTCGGCGTTCCTGCCTTGGGCGGCACTAGAGGAGGCACAATGGGTGGTTTGGGCACTGGAGGGAAGCTCACCTTCCACTCGTGGTATGGATTGTACACGTCGCCGCACGCGTCACCGATCACAAAGCCGCATATCTCCTCAGGGCCCAATGCCAGTCGTTGAAGCACGTAAGTTACTTCACCCTGGTAAATAGAATGAGGAATTTGTAAATGAACGAGAATTAAATTGTATTTCTTATTAAAAAAAAAAAAAAATATATATATATATATATATATATATATATATATATATATATATATATATATATATATATATACAATAGAATAGTTAAAATCAGATGTATGGTATATTAAAAATTTGTAATAAACATTTAAAAAAAACTTACCCCAAAAAGCTCTGTGAGACCATCGCAGACACGAGGTGTGGACATTTTGAGGCTTATGCAGAAGTGCTTGGTGATGTGCACAATATCCTCCTTCGTTTTGCCCGTACGAATGTAGTGCTGTAGAAAACCAACACCTGCAGTGACAAGCAAAATTTGTATTTACAATACCAGCTCCAAAATCTACACATTAAATATTTAAGCATCGTCTGCATGAATTAGGTCAACAAACAGATGAAAATAGAATCAGAATAGGAAATTGACACAAAAACAAAGAGTGTCAACATTGTCTTCAGACATTTTTGGGGAAACTTATTGAGAAATGAGAGCAAATGAGATTAATTTTAAAGTGAGCATCATCAACAAGACTGCATCGCATTGACATAAATTTTAACTATTTTGATGCTACAAAAATTAAAATCTTTTATTTAGATTTTCAGAGTATTTTCTTTTTCTATAAAATAAAAATGTCATAGTAAATAATTGGTTCTGACCAGCTTTGCAGGCGGTGCAAGAGACCTTGGACATCACAGAAGTTTCTACTTCCTGCACGACTTGCTGCAAATTCATCAGGCGCAGCGCTTTGTCCACAAGCGGCGGCACGTTAAGGCGCCGCGCCAGTTTCCGAAGTCGTCGGGACATCTCCGTCCCGTTGAGCCGTCCGCGCCAACGAGTCAGTGTCCGGTTCAAGCGACCACTCTCGAGGAGCACAACATTTTCAGTCGGAGCCGCATCTGGTGGCAAGACGTGCGTCCAATTCCGAGGGTGCAGCACAGGCGCCTCTTCATCTGCACTTTGCGAAACTACCACAAGAGCCAGCACCAAGAATATTCTGAAAATAGAAGCGTAAATTTTTTACTTCACGTGTTGTTGCTAAAAAATAAAAATCAAGAGACAATTATATTAAGATATTTATGATTTATAGCAGTACAGTAAAATTATTATTTATTTACACTGAAATTATTTTTGCAAATTCGTCATAAATAAAATAAAAATTTAAATTCACTTATATTATAAAATTTTAAATAATTATCTTTTTTTTTCAATCATAACCGGGCAAACGGCAAACCTTGTTGGAAAGAAAAAATGAAAAAATAAATAATAAGGAATAATTGACGAGAACCGCAGGTCGCCTTGTGGGGTCAATTGTCCTTTATTTTAATAATTTATTTTTCTCTGCAACAAGGTTCGCCAGGTTTTATTTTTTCACGATATCCCCCTCGAGTGTTAGCATTAAATTTTTTTAAATTGCTTAAAATTATAAAATGAATAATATAATTCATATTTATATTGTTGCAAGTTAAAAAAAATTGTTTTTAAATATGAAATGATTGTATTATAATTTTATTTTAAATATTGTATTAATATTGGCTGGCATTCCAAGAGTGACTTGACAAAGGGAAAGTGCAGCAAAATCACCTCCAATCTTTTTTTCAGGTGTCTCTCCAACCTCACTTGACGTTGACTCAAATTTCTCCTTCTTTTATCTAATTTTTTTTTATGGAGCCTACAACCCTAATAATATACCCACATCTCATATAAATTATGCATCTGCTGGGCCGCGTGAAAAATTCGGCCCTGAAAATCTCTCGCCTCTTAACTTTTAATAATACAAAATATAAGGTTAATCAAATTATGAAAAATATAGTGTGAGAGCTTCCTTTCAACTAAAAATCCTTGGAGGAAGAGTGTGTCATCCAAGAAGAGTAATTTAAAATGTCACCTTTTAATTGTAAATGGAAATTGCGATCCCTCTCATGGCATTTTGCTTGCTTCCTGATAATTATTTTTAAAAAGGAAATTAGTATAATTATTCTTGTTGTTTTTTAAGTGAGCTAAAATTACTTAAACGCATTACTTAACAACTCTCCTTAATATAAATATATATATACTTTTGTTGAATATAAATGAAAATACGCCAAGCTGCTTTTCTAATTCAAAAGGTAACGGCTATTTCAGAGAAGTAAAAAGCACGATGCGAATCTCTGCCCACCAGGTGTTTCAATAATTTGCAATAAAAAGGATCAAAAGAAAAAAATATATACACCATGCTGCTCTTAACTGCTTTTTATAACAACGTAGATACAATGGAGTGCAAGATTTTTTGGAGCAAAAGTGCCAGTCCTTAATGGTGTTTTTTAAACCATTATTATTCTAGCTGGAAAAATTTCAATAATTTCATGCTTGCAGAAATGTAAAACTTCCGCAAGCTGCTCGTCTCAATAGAGTAAAAGTGTGTCAGTAAGAATGCACACGTCTTGCGAACGGCAATAATCACCCAGGCACAATTCTCCTTTTGTCAAAGACACTTTGTCTTATGAGAACTCATCCATTTCTCAAATATTGGCTTGAATATGTGCGTCTGCAGAGGGGAACAGCAAAAGAAAACGAACGGCAATGAATAACTGAAAAAGTAAATCGTCGCGCCCGCACAAGGAGTGGACAGCAGACTTTTTATTCTCATTATTTATTTCTCGCTGAGAAAAAAGCCAAAGAGGAGCAGCGATTGAGCGGCGGACGTAACGGGACGCGGGCACTCACTGTTACTGCCGCACATTCACTGTTATCGAAAGACACAGCGCTTTTTTATTCATGTATTGTGTTAAGGGAGCGGCAGACACATCTTCATTTTTTTCGCTATTGCAGCGAAAGTGTTATAAAAATTAAATCTACAAATTAATTTTTTCAGGACCTGCATTGCTTAATACCGATTTGAATTCATGTTATGAAGCAATTTTTAATTAATCACACCTTTTTTAATTGCGCCCTTGCTCTTTGGATACTCATTGAGACAGAAAAATTATTAGCAATTCAATACGAATCTACAAACAATATTTGATTCTAGATTTATCTGTATCTGGAAGCGCTCTTCAAAAGAAGCACAAAAAGTTTTCTCCGCTGAGAGGCCCACGAGCTCAATGAGCGCCTAATTGTATGCGTAAGAGGCCAAGGCCAGCAATGTCAACAAAAAATTGATCTTTCAACGATCATTTCTTGCACAACAAAATAGTTAAAGTAAATGAACGGCGATTGAAATGTTTGCGCGGAAATATTATGATTTATTATTTTAAAAGACTATTCGCAAAAAGTGCAAGATTGCGACGGAGAGACCAAAGAGAGAATGTGGGCGCGACGACGTACCATCGGCGGCTGATAGCCTCCTCTGGAGAATCGAGGTCAATAAACGAGACCTGCGTCCAGCCACTTTGTGAACCAGGGCAGCAGGAAAAGCAACCCAGTAATCAATGACAATAAATACACTTTTGCTGGTTTTCCGGCTTTTCTTTTCTGGCCTTGAATTTTTTTAACCCTTCTTTTGTGAAGGATACCATATAAATGTATTTTTTTTTAATCGTTTTTAATTATTTTTTAGGGTTTCTGCTTATAATCATAAATTTTAACATTCCTCGTTTTGAAAAGATTGAATTAAATTAAACCTCTCTGCTAAATAATATAAAATAAAACTAACAACTTACCTAAGGAGGTGCATTTTGATGAGTGGTGAGGTGTCCTCCTAAGGGGTGCAGGGGAAGTGCTAGCACGATTTTGTCAAGTTTTCCTGATTCTCACAGATCCATCACGAGGCACAAGTTGTGTCACGGGGAATTAATCAAACACAAATGGTAATGAACACGCAACTTGATATTGAGAACCACTTGCGGCTCCTCCAGCTCTTCAACGACTGATCCAATGTGTTTCTCATTCCTTCTTCCTCGTTTGCCAAGATATCGTAGGGTTCGCGCACCAGCCAGCGATGGCAGCACACCATTATAATTATATGGGAACGTGCCTGCCTTTTGCCTACAGCACGCAAAATAGCAAAAGCCGCTGCGCAATGATTATTTCTCTTTATTACATAGTACGGTTAAATCACGTTAATTAGAATGATCTACTTTAAACGATTTTTTTTCTTTTCTATGGCTATTTTGCAATTTTGAAAATTTCATCTGACCGTATTTCAGTAGAACCATTATAAAGTAAACCGCATTGAGAAAATCGTTACATATTAAATTTGAAAATAATTTTTTTTATAACTTTTTGGGTTTTTTATTTGAAAAATGACATCAACTAGAATAAGCTTACTTAGTATTTGCAACTTCTTACTTAAATGTATAGAATTTTTTAAATGCAAACTTTTTTGATAAAAATAAATAATTTGAGTTTATGAGATGAACACTTTGAATTTCTTAGATCTTAAAACTTAGAAGTTGTTGAGATTTACTTTTGTTTTTCATATTGTCCTACTTCTTTTTCTTGTAAGGGTGCGCCTTTCCACCATATCTGGCAACAAAAGCATTGACGTCAAACTTTCGCTTACACCCCTGGTAGTTCATGAAGCGAATTTTGCCAAAAATGGCTCTCTCGCCCCAGCCTTGGTCGTGAATGCCACAAATGGACCACATACAACCTACAAGGGGAATTAGGATTTCAGATCATGTCAAATATTTATTTCATCTCAACCGACCAACATAGCCATTGGGGTCTCTTCCGTCCAAATTGTAGCGGTCATTGAGGTGGATGGCAATTTTAAGGGCCTCTTCGGGCGACTCTGTCCACTCAAGGATTTTCTTCGCCCAGTACATTCGGAGGAAGCCATGCATCTTTCCCTCCTTCACCAACTGCAGCTGTGCAGAATTCCACAGGTCATCATGCGTCTTTGAGGTGTCCAGCTCTTCCTGCGTGTACAGGTACTCGCGTTTGTCCTTGCGATGGACATTGAGGGTCTCTTTGGCCCAGTTGTTGGTGCCTTCGATGCTGTCATACTTTGGGTTGTAGTAGCAAAAGTTGTCTGATAGCTCTCGACGCACCACAGCCTCCTCGACAAAGGCAGCGACGCTCTCCGAGTGGCTTGCTTTGAACTTCTGCACCACCCTGATGGCTCGCTGGACAGACAAGTGCCCAAAGTGGAACCACGGAGAGAGGTTGCTCAGGGCGTTGACAGTGGGATCATTTCTCTTCGAGCCAAACAACTTGAGCCGCTTTGAGCAAAACTCGTTCAGCATTGCAAGGCCTGCAGATGCGCCAGGCTTGGCCCAGGAAACGGGACCCACCGTACGGTCCACTTGCAACTTTTTCTCCAAAGCTTCCCAATCGATTGGCTGAGGTAATGAAAAACCAAAAATTCAGAGAAAACTTCAAATATTTAAAATGATATTCACCTCTGCTTTGGTCTGTGCAGGGTACTCATGATTGATGACTGGAGGGTATTCTGTAAGGAATTCTGGCAGTTTATCCGTGATTTTTTTGCGAATTGTTCTTGCGCCATACTCAAGCTTGTCAGATGCAACCCAGCAAGGGACAATGTTGTGAGCGTCCACCTGCAAAGTAATGTGAATTAAATTTCAGTGGATAATTAATATTGAGGTTAAGTCTCACCTGGCAAAGTGGTACTTGTGAAGGGAGCTTTTCCTTGAGATCTTCGACCCACTGCCTATGAGTCCTCAAAGGTGAGAAGTCAATGACAAGCCCACCAATGTCATGGCTCGTTATGAAAGCAGGCAAAACAGTAGCTGCCTCACCTTCCAATAAGTGGAACTGAATATCCAACTTGGAGCAATCTTGCTGTACTTCCTGCAGCCCTTTAATAAAAAAAGCAAAGTTTTGAGTCGACAGTTTAATTATTTTGTAGATAAAAGTTTGTACCTTCCAGCATAAAATTGAAGTGCCTGATGGTGGCATCGAGAAATTTGGGCAGAAGACAAAAGCAGACATGCAACGGAAGCTTATTCTTGATTGCCAATTTCTGAGCAAATAGCATTGCCCAGTTGTCTAAAAATTGTAAATTTAATTTAATAATATAATAAAAACACTTGCAAAGATTACCTTGAACTCTTTGGTCTCTGGACATCCAATACACAATGCCTGAACATTCTTCAGGCACCTCCGTGACTTTTGAGAGAATCTTAACCCTTTTTTTGTTGTACTTAAAATCAACCACAGACTTTCCAGCCTAAACAGACATTATGATTTAAAATTAAAAAATTCATAGTTATGCTAATTTAGTAAAAATTTTAATTTTCATGAAAAATACCAACTTTTTTGGCCTATGTTTATTAAAATAAAAATGACACTATATTCGTTAAAAATATATTATAAAATCAAGAATCAAGGCATGTTATGTATTTACTCGATCCAATCAATTAAGAATATTTTCATTGAATCTTGAAGTTTTATTTATTGCTAATAATTCATAATTTTTAAAGAAAAATAATATGAAAAATTTATAATTGGTACATAATATGTACGTAATATTGAGCATAAACTGTAAAAAATCTTTAACATACTTTTTTCCTTTCTTCTTTGATTTGATGGACAAAATCCCCAACAGAGATTGATTTTGATGAGCTGTCAAGCTTCAACTTCTTTGTTCCACTGGCCATGGTGAACAAGAGTCGGCTAGAAAAATAAATTGTCCTCAATTTCAAAGAGCTGCATGTATTGTGTGTGTGTGCGTATATGTAGTGCATTTTGCGGCTACAGAGATCATTGCATTACAATCATTACATACCTCGCAAAAATTCTCTCGTCAAGGAAAACAACTCGACGAACGAGCTGTGCAGAACGATAGACGGGAAAACAAAAAATTTTGACCTAAAGCGGAGATCACTGTTCGAATATTAATGAGCGAAATTTAAGATCGTGAATCGAGACCGCTCTTGCTGCCTATGTTATGTAACCAAAATTGTAAACAGAACGCTCTCTTTCAGAATACTTGCTTGCGATTGGCCGTCTATAGCGCCTGCACGTGTGGTGCTTCAGACAATGCGCGCCAGAGGACACGGCGAAAGAAAATAGCGGAAAATATATGTATGTAGTAAAATTATTTTATGTTATGAAAATCAATTTTATGTAGAATATAAATAATTTTATTAACTTTATTATTATTTTGTGCAGACTGCAGAGATGGGAAATATTGAATTATATATTTATAGTAATATCTATTTCTAATTTATTATTTTGCTTCCATCTATCTTTTGATATTTGGTATAATTATTTGAAAAAATTTAATTTAACCTTTCCATTTTTCGTGACATAAGTTTAAAGGTTATTCTAATACAAATATTTATGCCAGGACGTCTTAGGATAAAGATTAATAATTAAAACACAAGTTTTGTAATTTTTGGAATTTTAAACTTGTATAAATTGTGCACGCCAGTGCTGGCAAAAGTTTGCTCACAAAGATTTTATCCTGTTCTCTGCTGAGCTCCCAGCAATCACAACCAAAAAGCTTGGTGTTCCACTGTGTACCACGTACCTAAATAAAATAAGAGGGTGTTTTTGCGAAAAATTATCTTTGATAGATTTTGGGTGTCAAACCTGCCATCTGTCAGCACCTTCAAAAGAGTAGAATCTTTTGAAACGGGCACCAATTCGTCTTTTTGTTTGCTTTCAAAATAAATGTTCATGTCATCGACATTGACGAAAACATTGTCAGTGTCCCACTCGGCTTTAGATCCAACAGGGAAAAGCTCTGCTAGCTGCTCTCGGAAACTGAATCATGTTGTTAGAACAGAAGAGAAATTAAAAAGCATGTCCTTACGTCGTGTCTTCGTGGAAATGCTGGACGAGATCTGTGATTCCGTAATGGGGGTAGAGGAACAGAACTGGCCACGTTAATCGGCCATCTTCACCCAGGGCAACCGGGCAGTGAGCAGCGGCAGGAAAACAAGGCTCCAAAGCTGCAATGTCCAAATCGCCGTCACTCCATCCCTTAACCGTTATACCCCTCCCTTTTATCGTTTTCTTCATGTTGCCCAAAAATTGTTCTTCGAGCCTCTTGGCCACGGTTGCCTTTCTTTCGTCTCTGTCTTTGATTTTCTAAAGATTTTTTTATTATTGTAAATTTTTAAAATATTTTTTAAATTGCTTACTTTTTGATAAATTGCTTTCTTCCGCAACTCATCCAGCTCCTGCTCGTTATTCCCGGAAATATCTAGGCCTTGATCACAGAATGCAATACAATCATCCTCTTTCTTCATCTGAAGGCAACATTTTGCTGCTCTTATGATCGGCTTCAAGTAATTTGGCTGCAGCTTTATGGCTATTTTGCAATCCATAAGAGATGACCTGAAAAGCATTCAACTAAGAGGGGGCAATTCAATAATCAAATTATTTTTACCTGTAGTTTTTCAAGAAAAAGTGTGCTGCTGCCCTGTTGTTGTGTAGCTCTGCATTCAAAGTATTGTTAGTTGATTTGGCCTTTAAACCCTCGGTATAGCTCAAAATTGCCATTCTGTATTTGCTGTGTTTAAAACTGAAGTTTCCGTCTTCTTTGTAGTTTGTTGCGAGCTCTGAAGAATTATAAATTAATTTTCCTACTATCGACTTTTAAATTTTTAACTGACCTTCAGACGTATTTTCAGCAGGGTCGTATTTCAGCTGCTGAATGCCTTCCAGCAGAGGAGGAAGAGACCCATCCTCTGGCACCTTTGTCATGAAAAAAGGATGCTTCTCCATTTCCTAAACAACCATTCAAGAGGTAAGACCCGAAAAACTGAGGTTCCCCTAATCACACCTCTTGCCATCTGTCCTCGGGCCATCCTTCCGTGTACGACTTCTTCTCCAAGCTGGAGATGTATTCATCAAGCTCACTGTCTAACTTGGCACATAGCTCCATCCTCTCCTCATGTGTAATTGTTTTCTTTTGCTCCGCACTCTCGTTGCAACTTTCTTTGTTCAAATCCATCTTAAGAAAAATTATACATTCATTAAATTTGCTCCATTAAACAGAGGATTGTTCACAAAAAGCAGTTGTTTAGTACTACATAGATTGGAAAAATTTAGAAATGAAATTTCACAGACAGAAATTGCTCATAAAATTTTACAAGAAAACGTAATAGCACCTTGATCGCTTCTTAGCAGGTAAATGGGAATTTTAAATATTTCGGAGTAAATTAGCGATTGGACCAAAATGCATTAGGCCATGCTGTTCGGTCTCCACCTGGGTTTGTTGACAAAGACTTTTGTTTTGTCGGTGCTTGTCTAGCCTCGTTGCCTTTTGAGTTCGATTTGCGTTTGTTGGAAGAAAAGGGGAGGGCTACAAAAATACAAAACAAAAAATGATCGGGGTCATTGATCATCATCACTCCGCCTGCCCCACATGGGACCACGCCCCCTTTGTTTCACTTCGATCTCGATTTCTTCAGAGAGCAGAACCGAATTAAATTCTTACAATTCGGTTCTTTAAACAAATTTTGAGACGCATAATACAACAATAATTGTGCTATGTGAGCCACACTCTGAATTTCCTTAAAAAGAGTCATTTTTAACCTGCGAGAAATGGCTCTGCGGATGCTGAAATTGTTTTCTTTTAGGGCAGTCTCCCCTAAAGGGAGACTCGTTGGCTACCAAGTTGAAAGCTACAAAGGTATTATATTCAATAGGTTTTATTTTAATTGCATTTTTTATACCAGCTTTGCTTATTTCAGGCCTAATGAGAATTCCTGTGAGAAGCAGACATTGCATGTCTTTCAATGACATGTTGGAATTTCGGAGAGAACAAGCTCAAAAGAGCGTGGTAATCCAAGTTTATTCTGACCACTCATACAATCACTTGACGAAGTTGTGCAATGAGTATGGCCCCATTAAAGAAACATTGTATTACACGACTCCAACAGATTTGGTAAGATTATTAGTCAAAATATATAATTATATATATTTTTTTTAATTTTTGATTCTCTGATTTTAGCACTTTATTCTTGTGGAATTTGAGAAAAAAGAATCTGCTAGAAAAATTATGGAAAGTGGCAGCTTTGGTCAGAAAATGCCCCCTGTGCCCTGTGTATCTCCTTTTCTGTGGATGAGGGCCAGCAGCATAAAATCTTCTGAGAAAGATGATGTGTGTCCAAAGCCGGTTCAAGACTCCGAAGCAAAAAAGGAAATTTTGTTGCAAAACCTACACGAAGCTCAATCTGTAAGTAATTTATTTTTAGAAGTCTTCTTTAAAAAAATAATTTTATTTCAATCAGTTTTCAGACCAAATCAAGTCTTTATATAACCTTACTGCTATGGGTGAGTTGGGCATACGACTGAGATTTTTAACCTCTCGTCAGCTTGAATTGGCTTTGTCTGGAGCCTTCCCGTTTTGCAAAGCCCTGCCGTTTGGCTCCTCTGTTAATGGGTTTGGTAAGGCAGGCTGTGATCTTGACCTTGTCTTGCAACTTGGAGGAATGGAGGAGGGACAGGTATGTTGCTGTTGTCAAGATAGAAATTTACAAAATTTTAAAATTTTCCATTTCAATGTTCTAGGAAACAAAAACTGAAGGAGCTCGCTTAGTCTACCACAATAAGAATTCTCAGTCGAGCAATGGACGGGCCTTAGTACAAAGGCATATGGAGGTATTAGCAGACTTCATGCAGCACTTTTTGCCTGGATTTTCAAATATCCAGCGAATTCTTCATGCCAGAGTACCAATCATAAAGTCAAAACACAATCTGACACTGATTGAATGTGATATTTCTATGACAAATATGTATGTTAAATTCTTTTTGATGAAGATTTAAAGTTGCAGTGAAATTACCTCTTCTTGCAGGACTGCATTGCACATGTCTGAGTTTTTATATTTGATGGGTGAAATTGACAACCGAGTCCGTCCGCTAGTCTTTGTTATTAAAAGATGGGCTCAAGCAACTGGTCTCACGAACCCTACTCCAGGAAGATGGGTTTCAAACTTTTCCCTTACCCTGTTGACTTTATTTTATCTACAAAAGAAAGAAGTTCTTCCATCATTAGGAACTTTAATTAGACTTGCAGGTAAAAAACTAAATGACTTTTTTATAAACATATATTATTTAACAATTTGTTCAAAAATCTGCAATTAGGTCCGAACGATAAAAGATTCACAGCTGAAGGTGTCAACTGTTCGTTTCTGAGGGACCTCTCTAATCTTGCGCTATCTAAAAACAAGGATGATTTGGAGACACTGCTTAAAGGCTTCTTCGAATTTTACTCTACTTTTGATTATGGCTCTCGTGGGCTCTCCTTGGTCACTGGCAATGAAATTCCCAAGGCAGATCACTCGCCCCTTTTCATAGAGAACCCTTTGGAGCGATATCTCAACGTGAGCAAAAATATCAGCATGGAGGAGACAGTGAGACTGAAAGTGGAACTTCAAAATGCGCTGTGGATAACGGAGCAAGCTTTAGAAGAAGTCACCAGTGTGAAGAAGGATTTAAAGTGGGGTCTTATCAAATTGTTGGCAGGGCCAAATTCTGCTGCTTTCAAGATGCCAAAACCTAAAACTTTTCGATTAGTGGAAATGCAGGACCTCTTTGCTGAAGATTCTAGTGTTAGTCACCCTCAGCCTTTAGTGAAGGTGAAGGGCTCAAACAAAGTGAATCATAAAAGGAGATAGTAATGCAATTTGTGCCCTTGTTTATTAAAAAATGTATTTTTAAATATCAAAACTTTCTATTCCAAAAATTTATTTACAGCTTAGGAAATTTTTCAGTGCTCCCTTTGGCCCTTACTTTATAACAATTTATAATTATTAATAATGCAGTTGGACACTTAACATTTTTAATTATTCCATTTTGTTGAATCAAGCACAGGATCGAGTACATTTTAAATAGTGATGTAAGGTGAAAACAATATTTATTTCAATTTTCATGATTGTGCTATAATAATTATAGTTCTGTAGAAAAAGGTGGTGGGTCTGTGTTTGAAAAGTGCAAAAAAGTAAAATTATAATCGGATCCGCAAAAGGTGGGGGGGGGGGGATGAGTGAAAAGGGGGCGTGTATTACCAACACAACGTGCCATCATCAGCCGATCAGCCTGTGCCTGTTGGGTGACGGGCCATACTCATTTTAATTTAAAATTAATAGGGCATTTGACATTATTTTGTTTATCAGACTCAATTTAGAGCTTATACATTCGTAGTTCATTCATAATTATTGGTAAGTTATAAAGCTAAACTGAAAATACTCCTTATGTTGAAAACCTTTTGGCAGATATGTAATAATGTAATTTTGTTAAAAAAAATTGTTCACTTCCAGGGTATGGATGGTGTTGTTAAGAAAAAGGGTGCCAATCGACCGAACCGGCATGGAGGTGCAAGTGGTGCGACAAGCAAACCGCAGAAACAGCAGTCAAATGCGGGGAAAGGCTTCAGTAAAAAGGGTGAGACAGAGTCTTTTAGGGACGGCACTTTGGGCGACACCGTTCTTGCCGTCAGACAGCCAGGCATGGAGCACCCAAGGTAAAATTCTAAATTTAAAAAATACTGCCTCGTTAACCATTATATAATTAACTTTAAATTTAATTCCATAGCATGCAAGATTCAAAACAAGTGCTGAAAGTAGAGCTACAGAAACTTTACATATCAAAAGAAAATGAAAAGCTGGTCATGGACGCCTTGAAACATGCTCATGGAGACGTAAGATTTCTTTTTAATTGGTCTGCAAAATTTTCATGCAAATTTTTCTCTAGGAATTTGAGCTCAATGACCAGTCTGCTTACCGAGACCAAGGTGGGGGGATAATGAAGCAATACTGGATGTCAAGAAGTACTCTTATTGTTCAGGGAGGAATTGATTATTCCAATATAAATAAAATCCAAGCTGCCGAGGGAGCTAACCAGATCAGTGCATTTGCACTTACAAAGCTGGAAAGGTAAACAGTCTTAGAATTATTATTTTTTTCATCAATTGATAAAATTTAATTCCAGCTTTGGATTTCATACACCACATTGTGTTGAAGCGCTGACAATCCACAACGGAGACGTCAGCCAAGCGTTGCAACTATTGTGTTCAATCTACTTCAAAATCGAGCAAAAAGTTTGTTCTTTCCCGGAATCCCAAGAGTCACTCCCAGAGAGTATTTTGGATTCAAGACGTGAGGAAAAAGAAGCCCTTCAAGCAATCTATGATAATGAATTTCTTGAGCGGATTGAGAACAAAGTCTGGTGCCTTCGCTTAAGCTTGCCATACTTAATCAAGCTCTGTGATAAGCCCGAAGAGAAAGTTGTTGCAAAACCCACTAAGCAAGTCTGCAATTTTTTTCTTAAGGGAATCTGCAGAAACTCCTACAATTGTCGTTTTGCCCATGTTGGTCTGCCAAAAACCACAGCAGTATCAGACGATCACTTAAAAGATCCAAAAGAGAAGAGCTCAATTTTTGAGATGGAAATTCGGTTTTCCAATGGAAACATGTATCCCCAGGAGCCGCCTCTGATTTGCTTCTCAGCCGAAAGCCCTAAGTTCCCCAAGGACATGTCCCTGAAAATTTCTAAGAAGCTCAACGAAGAGTCGAAGTTGCTTGCTGTTGACGGCTTTCCTGCTATATTTTCTTTGGTTGGAATTTTGGAACTAGAAGGAGAAATTGCTCCATTGTTCACCCAGCCAAGACCAGGCCCCAGGCACCTTGAACCCCTCATTCCAGTTGAGAAGGTGGAGGAAGTAACTAATGCTGCTGATGCAAGTTCGAAGAAGACGGGCCAGACAGCTAAAGCTCGAGAAGTCCGTTTGAAGTCGTCGAAAGAAATATTGCGCGAGAACGAACGACTCCAAAAGCAGCATTTAGATAAACCCGGTTTCTCCCAGTACAAAAAAATGATGGAGGTTCGAAGAACTCTACCTGCGTGGAATGAGCAGGACAGAATTCTTGAGGCGCTTAACTCCAACCAAGTAATCGTCGTGAGTGGAGCTACTGGCTGTGGAAAGAGTACCCAAGTTCCTCAGTTCATTCTTGATGAGTGGCTTGGAGGAAAAAATTTTGATCCGTCCTCAAACAGAGATATTGTCTGCACGCAGCCCCGTCGATTGTCGGCTATAGGAGTGGCTGAGAGGGTGGCAGATGAGCGAGCTGAGAAAATCGGACAGTCTGTTGGCTATCAAATCCGTCTGGAATCAAAAACCTCTAGTTCAACCCGTCTGCTCTTCTGCACAACTGGTATTCTGCTCAGAAGACTAGAGGGAGACGCTGAGCTGGCCTCGGTGTCACACATTATTGTCGATGAAGTCCACGAAAGGAGTGAAGAGTCTGATTTCCTTCTCATGATTCTGAGAGACCTTTTGCCAAAGAGACGTGACCTCAAAGTGATCCTGATGAGCGCAACTCTGAACGCTGATCTCTTCTCTCAATACTTTGGAATTGTCCCCATCCTTGAAATTCCAGGCAGAACTTTTCCAGTGGAGCAGCTTTTCTTGGAAGATGCTCTTGGAAAGACTGGATACACAATCGATGAGTCATCCCAGTATGCCAGACACATTAAATTGAATAACATCAGTGATATCAAAGAACTGGACACTGCAGGCAGTGATGACCTGGAACTGGAGCTGACCATTGTGGGTGACAATTTCACTCCAGCACATGGAAAAACTCCGGACGAAAAGCTCAGCCCGGCCCAGTTGTTCTACCGTTATGAAAACTGCGACAAGCAAGTTTGTAAGACGTTGCTCTATATGGACCCTGATAAGATCAATTACGACCTGATCGAAGCCACCTTAATGTACATTGCCCAAGGCAACCATAACTACCCCAGAAAGGGTTCCATCCTCATTTTCCTTCCTGGCATGGCGGAAATTACATCAATGTTTGACCAGATCAAGGACCACCCAGTTTTGGGTCAGCGAAGAGGCAAATTCCTACTCATTCCTTTACACTCAGCCCTCACAAGTGAAGAGCAAGCCCTGATATTCAAGAAGCCAAATGAAGGAGTCAGGAAAATTGTGATGTCAACCAATATTGCAGAAACGTCCATCACCATCGATGATTGCGTGTTTGTTATTGACGCAGGCAAGATGAAGGAAAAGCGGTACGACCCGAACAAGAACATGGAATCTCTCGAGTTGTGCTGGGTTTCCCAGGCTAATGCCCTTCAACGCCGAGGTCGAGCCGGCCGAGTGATGCCAGGAATTTGTTTCCATCTCTACACAAAGCATCGGTACGAGTGGCAGCTCATGAAACAGCCCATCCCAGAACTGCAGAGGGTGCCTTTGGAGCAACTTGTTCTCAAAATCAAAGTACGATTTAATATTTGACAATAATTCTGAAATATATTTGTAATGCCTTTAATTATTTAATTTCCTCTGTTTTGATTTCAGGTGCTGACTTTGTTTAAAGGCAGAGAGCCTTTGGATGTGCTCATGTCCACCCTGGAACCACCTTCGGAAGAATCTGTGAATACTGCAATTGCCCGTCTGCAAGATGTTGGTGCCTTGGACGAAAGGGCCAACCTAACAGCTTTGGGCCACCATTTGGCCGCTCTTCCTGTGGACGTCCGTATTGGAAAGTTGATTCTTCTTGGCGCCATCTTTAGCTGCGTCGACTCCGCCCTGACGATGGCCGCTTGCCTCAGTTACAAATCACCCTTTGTGAGTCCATTTGCCAAAAGAGACGAGGCTGACAAAATGAAGCAGCAGTTTGCCACTTACAACAGCGACCAACTGACCGTTCTCAGGGCGTACAAAGGTTGGTTGAAGGCCAGGGATGCAGGATTCACAGCTGGCTTGTCATACGCCCAAGAAAACTTCCTTTCTCAACGAACGCTGCAAATGATCGTTGAGACAAAATTGCAGTTTCTTGAGCTGCTGGTGTCCATTGGATTTGTTCCCTCTGAAGATTTCAATGGATTTAGAGTCAAGAAAGCTGCAAAAATGGGCAGAGACGTCACCCTAGATTGCTCTGGTGCCAAATTGAATGAGCACAATGAAAACTGGAAGCTGCTCTCATCTATTTTGTGTGCTGCGCTTTTCCCAAATGTTGTCAAGGTGCTTTCACCTCGACAGCTGTATGCGGTTCACGCAGCCGGTGCTATTCCCAGAAAGCCAAAACCCGAAGAGCTAAGGTTTAAGACGAGAGATGATGGTTACGTTGCAATTCACCCATCTTCAATAAATTACCAAGTTTGTAAACTCCATCTATATTATAAATTTATTAAGAAAATTTAAAATTCTTAGTTTTTTAGCTCTTTTATTCCTTTTTTTTTAATTTTAAAATATAAATAAAATATTATCTTACATTGTTTCAGGTTGGTTTGTTCAGCAGCCCGTATCTGGTGTTTCACGAGAAGATCAAAACAAGCCGCATTTTCATAAGAGAATGCTCAATGGTGCCTGCGCTGGCGCTGGTATTGCTGACAGGAAATTCTCTGCACCTTGAGCTGCATTCTGGCATGACTGTGATAGCTCTTGAAGGAGGTTGGATTCGATTTGGTGTTGACTCGCACCCCGTTGCCGAAATGTACAAAGGCATCCGGGTGGAGCTGATGAAGCTCCTCGATAAGAAAATCGCAGACCCGAGCTTCGATTTTCAGTCAGAAGTTTTGAGTCAGCATGTGATCAAGGCCATCATTAGGCTGCTCACCTCTGAGTCCTGATGGATGTTTTTGCTCGAGTGTGTGTATTGAAAGAAGGGATTGCCAAAAATTATTTATTGTTGATTTTTATATTAAAAGATGCAGAGAATAGTCTGCTGAAATATAATAATGAAGATTTCTTTTAAGAGTTCCTTTTTCCTATGAATTATTAGTTACAAATTGTGTTTATTATTGTACCACCGGGCATTCTCTGCCCAAATACATCATCCATACATTCAATATTATAAATTACATTGATGACAAGAAAAATTGGTTACTAAAAAAATAAATTTAAAATCATTAAAAATCCCGTGGAAAAAAGGGAAAATTCAGTTTTTTGCTTCAAGGAAATACTATGATAATGTGTCGATGATTATTCCATAAAAAAGCCAGCTGCAGGCAACATTTCTTTTTATTGAATTATCCCGTCCGTCAGACTGGTCATGCTATTTAACGATAACTGCCGTCCATGCCTATAAAGTGTGTGCAGTATAAGCTGTAAAGGACACTCCTGCGCATCACTTTCGCCGCTATGTTACATAACATACATTTGCAATTCCAACCGTTAATGCTCTACATAATCGAGCTTTCCAGTCCGGACTGCTGCCATTCATCCTCAATTTTCCACATTCATTTGGTTTAACATGGGCATGTGCAGCAGTACATAAAGTATTATTTTTACGAAGACTTTTAATGATCTCGAGAGGAGTGGGATCAAATTATAGCCAATATAGACATTATTATATTAATTTTCTCGTCTGCTCTCATTAACGTATAGTGCTCTTTTTCATGAAACTATAAGGGAACTCTAGAGAGGCCAATCAGAGCCTCTCCAACATGACCGGCCGTTATTTCTATTCATTTTTTCCCTGAGAGCCACAAAATCTCATAATCTCCGTCTTAGAAGGGCTCGTCGTCGTAAAAACGGAGGACAAAAAAGGCGCCTCGACGCTCTTTTTCCCCACACGATTTTTCCGCAAAGTTGAATTTAGTGTCGCTGCTAATCCCTCTCTTGCTGCCGGCGCGTTGCTTTCTTTCTTTCCTTCTCATCACGCCGCTTTTTTACTCTGCAAATGTGTAACCAAGGCACGTATTAGTTCAGAGGGCGCCGGCCCTTTGGTAAACACAAAAGTCATCAGAGTGAGGGATGAATGACTTCGGAAAAGGGTGTGGCGATGGCAAAATAAATAATTTAGGCCCGGCAATTAAGGCTGCGAGCGGAGAGACTTTGATTAATTGCGCCCGGCTTTATGGCCGGCTGACCGAGACCAAAAAGACGACGGAGACGCCGCCGCCCAGTCTGCATTGCTGCAAGGATTGAGTTCTGCTTGCCGAATGGCCCCCAGCATTTGGGAGAAAAGACGTTTGAACATTTTATTGCTCTGCAGTAATTACACACATTGAATTGCCATCTTCGCATTCTACAGTGTTCTGAATTCGTATTAATTATTCGGCATTATTTGTACTATATCTAAACGTCTTTCAGTTTTTTTTTATCTTTTAGTTAAAATTATTTATAATATTAATTTTTGGCTTTAGTAGATTAATTTTAAATTAATTCAGCCAATAATACTTTATTTCCTCTATATCAATTTTTCATCATTCAAAAAGTACTTGATTCAGTCCAACGCTCACGTAAATAAAATTCCCTCGTTCCCCACATAAATAACGGTATATCTTTTTGGATAGAGATGGAAGTACAAAAAGTGCTCTCTCCACAAGAGATGCAATTATATTCCGCGGCGGGAGTGACTGCTTTCAGACGGAAAAAGAGCGCGAGGGCCCTCACCAGGGCAGGGTGCATGGTATAAAATTATATGCGCCTTTCAATTGGTTCAATATTTATCCCTCCACCCTCTTGAATGCTCGACTCTGTAATTGCACTCTGCGAAAACTGCGAAAAGAATGCTGCCCCGCGCCGCTCATTTTTCGCCCCGAGCAAGGGTTGAACCATATACCATGCAGCGTCGCGAGTAATGATTTTCTTATCTCACAATAACCATTGGGCTGTGGCTTTGCGTCATGCTCGTCTGCAAACACAGTCGCCTGCCAAGCATCCTTCCATCATTCTTCGTCTCTCGACATTGACAGAGAAAGAAGAGCGAGTACATAAACCAAAAACTGCTCTGGATGGCTGCACCCTTGGGGCCATTATCAACGAACTTGACCGCTTATTGATGACCATCCACCTCGTACTGGACGGGTTGGGTATGAGGCCTGGCAAAAACAATGCCTCTCTTCTATCTAGCACAAGTCGGTTGTAAAAATATCACAATTTCTGAGTATTCAGCATTTTTTTGTTGCTACTCGATGTGCTGATGATTGATTGGGACGTTAAAAAAAAGCGAAATTTCTATTTTACGATTGCAAGTGAGGGTAATACACCATTTTATTTAAGCTCGATGCAAATTTGAAGAGGGGCTGCAGTGAACTTTTAGTGCCTTTTTACAAGTGCTCTGCAAAAAGGGATCCGCGCATAATAAAGTCCTAGCTACTAGGCGAGCCAAATAAAAAGATAAGTGCGCTGCCGCATCGCGCTCCACGTGCGTGTAATACGGGTTGCATAACTTCATTCGGCACTCTTGTCATACGTATATGCGTGTTCATTTCGCCAAAAGCTTTTTATCTTTTTTAAAAAATTCTCCCGTGTCGTTTTCTCAGTGTATTCTTAAAACGATCGTAAAACTCTTTTCAGTTTGCAATTGTCCCGAACGCACGACATAAAAAGCAAGTCAAGTTTTGAACAGTGAAATTTTACTGCAGCAGATTCAGCAGAAAACAAAGCCTGCATTTTTTTTCTTAAACCCTTCGACCCTACAGACTCTTATGTATAATGGGAGTTTTCTGCTCGTCCTCGAATTTTCCGAATCGACGCTGCTTCTTTTCTTATTCATGAATTGCACTTTTGTGCTGCAGCTCTCTTGCGCCAAACTGCTCAAAAATTACACCAAATGAAATGAAAAGGAACTCATTCGCTCTTCCCCGCGCGCGCATTGCTCCATTTAACAAAAGAATTCTCCAGCGGCTTCATTTCCAGGGATGCATTCTCAACGAGAAATCACTTTTCTCTTTCGCGTTCTGCACATCCCTAGAGTGAATATATGTATATTTATGCGGAAATGAGCATCGCGCCAACGAAACGTATATGCTGTAATCCGCCACCGCCGCGGCTGCTAGGGCGACGGAATATCATTTCATTCGATGCTTTTTTCCATTATATGCACCGCCCTGTTGCATTTTGCAGCCTTGCAGGACTCTTCATTTTTAATTCAATCGAAAGAGGAAAGCTCGGGACGGGAAATTGAGATCGAAAATTTCTCCCCTGCGCCGCTCTTTGTAAGAAAAACAATGACGTGGCTGTGAAAACGCAAGGCGTTCTATTTACATGGTGCGTCGAGCAAAAAGGAAGGATGAGTAAATTTGTCAAAATTCTGTCAGGGGGGAATGCTACATTGAAAGTTGGACTAGTAAATGGTGGCCCTCTCGAAGAGGGAAGGGTTTTTATTTATGACGAAAATTAAAACACCCACATAAAAAGTTCAAAAGTTTAAATTCCATTTATTTCAAAAGTGAATTTATATTTTAATGCTAATTTAAGTAAATTCAAAACGGGGGATTATTAAAACTTTTTATGTGCTACACTTCCCGACACCGTGCCCAGGAAGTAGGAAGATTGTAAGAAGGGCGTCTTGAAAAGTTTTGAGATGCAGGCGCAAAAAGTTGCGAGAGAATTCTCGCGGCAGAGAGTCGCGCCGCGCTGCTGCTCAAATTCATTTAGCAAACAACAAACACTACTTAACAACTTACGAATGCTGCTGGCGCGAGAACTAATTAAATTTCGTCTTTTGTGGTGTGTGTGCAAGCGAAGAGAGCACAGACAGTCTTGTCAAAATGAATTTATTGCGTTATGCGTGCCCCTTTGCTCTTGTAATCCTTTTGTCTTTTTTACTTGAACGTCAAAGATTCGCATTGGCATTTGAAGAAAAAGCTCTCGAGGAACAAAATGCATTTTACGTTATGGTATTGGCTTCCCTTTGAGGGAATCGAATAACTCATACTTGTTGTTTTCAATAATCTAAATCATGAGTTTAAAAATCTTTTTTTTACATAATATTTTTACCCTTTTCTGAAATTGTAAAATTTTATTTATGCAATACAAATTTGCTAATTATTTTAATTTGACTTGAGAATTCCCAAAGAGGAGAAACGAAACGGCAATTTTAATAAGCTTTTTCTTCACTAAATAAATAACGAGACTCCGGCCGCTCTTGTTAGTTCCGCCCTCGCTATATACTGCACTTTCTCCCAATGTGCCGAAGCTTTTTTCCAAATCTCGAGACCCAGACGGAACTTTAAGCGAGACCTTTCTTTGCTCTCCTTCCTTGCGCGCGAGCAGTTTCACTTACGAGAACCAAGCAAATCTAATCTCCAAGGAGAGATATAATACACGTGAGCCTTTCTTTCTCTTTTTGTTGGCTCCTGAAATATTTATATTTAATTTTTATCCAATTTTACGCACAGGTTAATTTTTTATTTCCTCCCCAATGCTAAGGCACACACGCACAGCTAGAGCGGAAATGTCTTACGCTGCTATGAATTACTCTAAAACGCCGACGACTGCATGGGGGAGCCCGCGAAAATGTTCGAGCAAAGAAATAAAGGAGGAAAAGAGAAGAAAAAGAAAGGAGGAAAGCAGGCGTATAAAAGCAAAAAAGCCGCCGCTCTGTCGCACTCTCGCTTGTAACTGGTAATTCCGCCTTCGTCCTCTTACTGCTGGCGAGTGGATTAAATTCCGCCCCAAACTGCCGCATCTTGTGTAATATTCTTAATTAGCCTTCCATTGTTTTGACCGTTCTGTTTCCATATACAGTTAGTTGGCAAGTAGTGAGCTTTGTTTGTCTTCCGTCGACCCGCGGAAAATCGTTTTTGCCGCTGAGAGAATAAGCAATTAAGAGTTTAGAAAACAAAGCTATTAATCATTGCTCTGAGAGACGTGCTGAATTAATGCTCAGTTTTTACGTCTGCACTAGAGCAATTAACGACATGCTTTTATCTTGCTCAGTTTGCTTGTTGTTAATTTAAATATAAAAAATAAATATAAAAATGGTGCAAGAAAAAACAT